TCTAAGCCTTTGCCTAAGCAGGATAATAGAGATATCGGGCGCCAGGACCCAGTCTTAGAGAAGTCTGTTTTCCCCGGCTTCTGGATCATAACAACCTCCGCTTTGCGGAAGGGTCTAGGGAAGTAGCCTACCTGTACGCAAGCCTGGAAGAGCTGCTGTATAGGCCTAGCTACTAAACCCCAATAACAGTATTGTAAATGGAGTTATTGGTATAAAAGACTAAGACCAGAGTTGCGTGTTGATATGAGATAGCTGGACTGAAAGATATATAAAAGCTAGTCTTCTCAGGCATAATTATGATTAGTACTCTGTTTCTCATCACACTTGTTGAATTCAAACATCATTCTCCGACATGGCTCTCAACAGCTCTTTCGGCAGCGCGCTGATGCATGGCATCATGTATTAGGGCGTTCTTGGAGAGATGACTCTTGAAAATATCCTGATGCCTACTATATTGAACCAGACTGACGCCGTCGTCTGAATCACTACGTCAGCCCTTTGCGGCTCTGACCTTTATGTTTATCGTGGGTACTAAGGTGGCGCTCCTCCTTGGAATATGGGATATGAGGCTATTGGATATATCTTGGAGCTTGGAAGCGCTGTGTCTGGGTTGGAAGTTGGTGACTACGTTATTATTCCCGATACTGTAAACCATGGTCGGCTGGAGATGGAACCTACGGCTTTGGACTTTTATGGGAATGGAGCTGTCGTGACTGACGGTCTTTAATGTAAGTCACCTAACTTTAGCAAGAGGATGACCTGCAGAAGGGTGTATTACTGACCTCGATAAAGCCGAATATGCCAGAGTTAGGTTCGCTGACTCCAATCTCATCCCAATTCCACTGACCCGTGAGACGACCAACACCACCATTGAGCAAGACTATCTCACCATTTCTGATATCTTTGCCACCGGTTGGGCCAGCCTTGACTTCTCTGGCTTCGAGACGGGAGATACCGTTGCGGTCTTTGGGGCTGGTCCGGTCGGACTTTTAGCGGCTTATTCTGCCGTACTTCGCGGCGCCTCAAAGGTGTATGTGGTTGATCATGTCCAAGCCCGACTTGACCGCGCTGCCTCAATTGGAGCCATCCCCATCAATTTTGCAACCAGCGATCCCGTCGCTCAAATCCTGGCCGCCGAGCCGAACGGCGTTACGCGATCCATCGACTGCGTGGGTATCGAAGCCCTGAACTCGACGCTGGAGCACGAGCCAAACATCATTCTGAACCAGATGGTCAACCTTACCCATGTCGGGGGCGGGATCGGTCAGGTTGGGGTGTACATGGCCCAACCCGACTCGCCCGGCTCCCCTCTCGGACCCACATTCTCGCCCATCGCTTCGTTTCCCCTTTCGGACTTCTTTGGCAAACGCTTGAAGTTCCAAGCGGGCCCTGTCGATCCAAAGGTGTATGCACCGATGCTGGTTGAGCTTATCAGTAGCGGTAAAGCGAGCCCTCATTTCGTGGCTTCGGCAAGTATCTCGATCGAGGATGTTCCAGCATACTACGCCCGGTTTAACGCGCACGACGAAATCAAGGTTTTCATCCACTTTCCTTGAGGTCCCAGTAAAGATATTCCTGTACACCATGACCATAGGGAGGCATCTGTAGATTACGGCCTGGCATACATAGACCTGTACATAGAGCGAACACGCATCCCTCAATAATATCTCAAGGCGTACATCGGAACCAAATGCCAACCAAAACCTCTGTCTTTCTTGATGGTTCAGCCCAACCTTCTCGCGTAGGGTTTGACTCGCACGCCTCTGAGGACTATACCACATGCTGGGTAGGCATGAGGGAGAATATTCTTGCAAGAAAACGTCGTCTGATGAACGGAAGAGTAGATTGCCCCTGAGCCTGTTGCCGCTGGGCGTCGTACCTAGCTAGGCGATCGAGGAGGGGCCGAGCCGACTGAAATAGCGCGATCAACGTCCACCTGGCGATGCCGAGATTCATTCAGAAATCTACAAGAATTCCAGCTTTGAATTTCCATGTGTATTTCGGTGGTATAGTATTCGTGCTGCATCTTGTGCCTGCGGTCCCACATATTATGCAGGTGGCTGACACCTCGCAGAAACTCGCGCTAGTGCCCGCCTGGATTAACATCGGATGACGAAGGTGAGAGGAAGAGTTGCTCGGGCAATTCCTTAGGTCTGACAAATTCGCAAGAACGCGGAAAATAGATCCCTTGAAATGACATGGAAAGGTCCGTCCGGTCATAAATGGCAATACCGAAACCGACTTCCTTAGAGCTTACTATCCACCCGACAAGATATTCCATGTTCTTACTCAACAGCAACCATGCAAAGTGGCCAGCCCCACAATGTTCTCCTGACCGGGGCCTCTGGCTACCTCGGAGGTAGCCTGTTTGCTGGGTTGGAAAGTTATGGCTTGAGCGGCTATGACAAGATCTACGCATTGGTTCGATCAGACGCCCAGAAGGAAGCAGTTCAACAATATGGCGCTGAGCCCTTGAGCGTGTCCTCGAAGGATGCCAAGGCAGTCAGAGATGTGGCTATGCAGAACAAGATATCTGTGGTGTTCTACCTGATCGACGTTTTCGAATCGACCGCTCAAGAGAACCTGATCAAGGCCTTGGGCGATTTGAGGCAGACCACTGGGCAAGATGTGCACTTTCTTCACGTCAGTAAATCCGATGTTAATCGACGATGCTTGTTCCACCCCAAGCTAACAGATTCCTCGCAAGACATCTGGCGCAAAGATCTTCTCCAGTGACGCTGGCGCTCCGACAGACAGAGAGCTTTTGGACACTGACCCCAACCTCTATGACATTCAGAAAGGACAAAAGGCGTCAGCCAATATTCTTCAGAAGGCGGGTTCTCAACAGCCAACTTGGAACACATTCGTCTGACAAAGGTATGCAAAGTGTGTTGACACCAATAACACGATCATCGAAGAAGCTGAAGGCAATGGGGTACGATCCTACATCTTTGCCCCGTGTATCGTTTGTAAGTCTTGCATGAAATTCATCAGCCCTTGGATGTTGGGGAGGGATATCTTGAGTTACCACTCATGCCCGCGTTCTCTCCGCAATATCTGTCATGCCCTTGACCCCTCACAACCCCACTCCGCTGCGGTATCAGTCATGTCTATCTTCTTAAGGAGCCAAACGTATTTGCGAACATATTAGGACCCCTCTAAACCGCTGACGTTTCGCGTAGACGGAAAGGGCGCAGGCTTTGGGAACACCATATCTATCCAGACCACGGACATCGTCAAAGCAGCCATAGCTTCTGGTCGGGTTCACTCAGTTACGCCCAATCAGCCTGTAAGTCCAACTCATCTCTTGGGCTACGGGGAGAGGGTTTGACAAGCTCCCTAGACCTGGCCGGTGTGCCATATCAGCGACAACACAGCACTCTATCTGCAAATCCTGCGGTCCATCCTCGAAGATAAAAACATAGGGCACGGCAGGAATGGCTATTATCTAGCAGCTTCGGGCAGTATCGCATGGGATGACATATATGCCGCGATGGCGCTGGCGTTGAAAGTCAGGGGTATCATTGAGGACGAGACTATCACTCCTGTTGACGACATCGCTTTGGTGAAAATGGCACAGGGACTCAACACAGATCCCTCTCTCGTTGCAATGAGAGTGGGAGGAAAGTAAGTTCATATGGCTCAATTTTTACGTTCCTCGTAATATTTGCTTTGCTTGCCATGCTGATTGAATCTCAGGTGCACGTTGACGGCTAAACATGGCGGCCAAATCGGATGGAGCCCGCGATTTGGCCCCACTCATATTCTTAAGGCTGCCGATGTTGAGGTTGAGCACATTCTGAGATACTTGGATCACAGAGCTGGAAAGTTTTGACATGCGACCGCATCTGGAGGAAAATATCTGGTCATCAAAGGCATAAATGCAGCTTCGAATTTTGACTAATAAGTACTTGCACGTTGACCCAATGGAATGGATCGACCAGGGCACAGGGAGTCGTTTTTTGATTTCCACATCAGGCAAGGATTCTAGCAAAGGGTGATAAAGTCCAGATGAATGCGAAAGGGATAGTTATGATCATCTTCTTGCAGTTCTTACGATTTCCAGATGATAGAACCCGAAAAGAAAAGTCTTGGTATCGCTTAGTCAAAGCCTTGAAAAGGTGGTCCGAAGATCGAGTCATCAGGCTGAAGAGGCTTTTTGTTATGGCTTTCCGCGAAGAGTGCATGAAGGCTATCCATCTTTCTCCCTTTGAACGTATCACCGAGAATGAATCATGGGTCTAGCTTCTTCTCCAAGCACCGGTCGCGCCAGCCTTGCCCTACTTAACTGGCCCAAGAACTCAGAGCCAAGAGTCAACTGAGAGTTCGTCTGTAATCCTTCCATCTCTGATAAACAGCTATGGCAACCCACTCTTTCACCCTCTGATTTACAACCAACCTCCTCCGGACAATGTCGGAAGAACAGATGGTGTCTGGCAGGACACAGCCAGATGATGTCGACTGTGCCCAAGCCATCAGTTCCCTGTCTCTGCGCACGGGGCTGGGGACATTTGCACTTGACGAGCTTCCTCCTGAGCTCATTTTCATGATTTGCTCCTTTCTTCGTCCGATTCGGCCAATGCATGAGGTGTTCGCAAGCAGAGCGACGTACGACTTTGGCACGGTTTACGACACGTTACAGCACGATTGGCGTACGGTAGAACGTCTCTCAGTCACCAACAGACGATTGAGGCGCTGCATCGCTGACAGCGGCTGTCTCTACCGAACAATCATTGTCAAAGGCGATTCAATTTGGCGCGTCGTCTCACTTCTATGGAGTCTGAAGAAGAACCCTGCAATGGGTCCTGCGGTACGGATGCTCTACATGGGTCTTGCCTTCGAGGTCTACCCCAAGGAAGGTTCATTGCCACCGCCTCAGCAATGGCACCTAGACTTCGTGTTGGAGATGGCCACAGCGTGCAATGTACAGTATCCAGCGGCGTTATCATTCTCAACAGCCCCGTTCCCGAGTGACAGTCTTCATTGCGAGTGGACTAGTCTTCTAGCAAGAGTTATTCTGGCCAAGATGCCCAGCATCGAAGACATTGGCATCAAGATCATAAGCAGAGTCTTTAGAGGAACGGAGCCGCCTTCTACGTCCCTTTTCAAAGGCCTGATCCTCCCCAATCTCCGGTCTGTGGCCGTGAGACTCGAAAACTGCAGTAACTGGCCTCTACTCCATCTTCGGGGAGGCCTATGGTTTTGCCATGATTTTGACCTGGTTGTAGATTTGAGCCCCGTCAGAAACCTCTACGTCGAAGCAGAGGGCCTCCCTCTATACATGACGCTTTCACCCTCCCATTTCTCCGGACCCAAGTTTCAAAACTTGACGAACATCACACTGAACGGATGCCCGGTTAACGAGCAAGAACTTGCGAGGATGCTCGACCATTGCACTCTTGTGTCGGTCTTCAGATACATAATGTCTCACTATTCCGTCTTCGCCATAGCTCCTGGTATTGTCATTCAAGCCCTACAGCGCAGACATGCGAAGTCTCTCCGTACTCTATGCATACACGTGTTTAGTCGAATTTGGGGTTTGGGAGAGATCTCAACGCTTGAATCATTCGACAACCTCCAGAGCCTGTGGATTGACCTTGGGTCTATAGACAACTCAAACATTGCCCACGGTCTTGTGGAGGATGAGACGGGCAATGGCAATGATCCCAGCTGGTACGACCCGCAGCCCAATCACTTCTTCTTTACGCTTCCTCGTACCCTCAAGAGAACGTTTTTCTATTGGGTCTCTCAGGGGCACGAAAATTCTGTGGATTGGCTTATCAGCAATCAAGGAGGGCCGTCGTTCCCAGAACTTGAGGAAATTGCGCTACATTGCGCAATAAATGACACCGTGGACAGGGTGGGCTCAAATTTCAGTCACGGAGCATCCAGGCACACTTACATTCGGTCTTCTATGTGGCAGTAGACATCTGTACTCGCAGAAGGGCAGGCGTTTTTCCGATAAGCATTGCGTTACGAGGGTGGCATAATTGCGGGAGCTCGGGACTCATGTATGTAACCGAAAAGACATTGTACAGGATCTATGTGTTTTTCATGATACGTCTGCAGAAATGCAAAGCCTCTTTGGTATGCTTCTTGTGTTGTGTTATGCCCCTGTTTGTCACGATTTGAGCTCCATCTTTGCTGTACTTGCAAGCTCCGGCGGCGTTCTTGATCCAGGAGAGTGGCCTTCGCTAATGACCTTCCCGCCGCGCATACCGAGTAGATCTTTGAACATCATTCGCGTGGTACGTATGACTGTACTCCGAGACTCAAATATGGGTAAGAATACAACCATGATGACTGAAGCGAAAAGCCAGGTGATGCCGACCACGACCCATCCGGTGAAAAACTTTGCAGCCGTTAGTTCAATATATGATGAGAAGTAAGAGATGGTTACATACTTGTTTGCTGAAAACATAGCCACTGCCATATAGCGGCATCGGCCAAAGTATCAGTAAGACAAGGGTCACACCGACGGTGAGCCAGCGGGCAATCTTGGCGGCACGGTCCAATTTTACCCGCTCGTCTACGTCGCTGTCGACAGCATGGGGCCTTTCATTCATGTTCTCCAAGTCGACATTTGCAGCATCAACAATCTCATGATCGTCTCCTTTGCGGATATTGAGCATGCTTTGCCAGTCGTACTTCTGATGCTTGAAGGGGGGGATGAAGGTGAGAAGTGGAATGAAGACAACAGGAGAGAGTAGCGAAGTGAGATTCCCAGCCAGCATCGGAGTGTTGGCTCCGGTCGTCTCAACGCTCAGCTGGCCATACTTGATCTTTGTCGTGACTAGCCATGCCGTCATGGACAAGACGAAGCCGATGATAGGGCTGAAGGTTGCCGCAGCCCAGGACTGGCCTGACCAAAGGAGCGTCAAAGTTGCGGGGAGAACAGCCGAGGAGATGATGACACCCATCATGAGGTACAGATAGCCCATGGAGATCCCAATGTAGTTGAACCCAGTCGCCAGACCAGCCATGACAAGGGCAAATGCGGCCATACCGATGTAGTTGATGCGCATGAGTTGCTTGCCAGTTGCCGCGGGGTTGACGTACGTCTTGTAAATGTCGTAGGTGCAAATTGACGAGATTGCGATGAGTTCAGAGCTGTAAGTCGACATGATGGCCATAAACTTGGTCCTGTCAGCCCGTGTTCTTTAAGAGATGGATAATACTTACCGCGAGAATGAGGGTTGCAACAGCGCCGCCCTTTCCAAGCAGAGCAACGGCAACTGTTGGGAGAACCAAGCCCGCATCGACATCGGCTGCGGGCATCCGGTTTGGGAATGAGGGCCAGATGTCGTATCTTTCCAGGGCCAGTCCAGCAAGACCCATGGTTGTCGCCGTCAACCAAGGAACGGCGAACCAACTTACTCCACTATCACAACGAATTAGCCTGCGAACGTGGGCTCATATCGCGGTGGCCTTACCCCATGACGTATCCTGGCAGTGCATCAACCGGAGATGCTGCAATTGCCTTGTTGTAGTACCCGTTATCGAGGAACACAGTGCCAAAGTTTCCGCACAGGTTGATGATGAAGAACTCGACTAAATGCTTGTCAGCAATCTACTGATGTCAGCATGAATATTTGCATACCTCCACCCTGTGATCTCATAGTCAGATAACTACCGCCAGCATTGCCAGACAAGGGCCGTTCGGCAGCCAGATCGGTCAGAATTTCCCACACGCGTCCTGGCGAGCCTAAAATGTCATTCGTCGAGTACACTGCGAAGGCAAACACGAAAATGATAATGAGAATGACGAGTCCGTTGATGTAGTCCGTGATAAAAGTCGCTTTGATACCGCCGAAAAGGGTGTACACCACGACGCCTGTCCATGTATGAGCATCAGGCACATCGTATGCTGCATTTCAAATGAAGGGTGCTCACCAATGGGGAAGAGAAAGACTGAAGCAGCTACTGGAGCGCCCGTAAGATTTTGAATCACAGCTGATCCTCCCGTGAGCAGCATCGCTGTCACTGGGGTCCAGACTTAGCTTAGTGCCGCCATGATACTTGTCACAAGGCTTACCGAGAATGTTACAGAAGCAGCAAAAGACGATGTATACGCAGTGCGTAACCGGACCATATCTCGCCTTTACTACCTCAAGGACTGTTGAACTGATTAGCAAACAGTGCACCGTCATTTAGGTCCCGGCATCCTACATGTGTGGGCGTTCGGCGCTCGTCTCTTTAGTTCAATTGCGAGCGTCGCAAAGAGAATGATTTGGACCGTGGCTCCGGAGGCATACCAGACCGGACCAGAGACACCACTGCGTTTGCATGAGCGATGAAAATTGATATCGAAGGAAGATGTCGAACACATACTACTTATATGCGACCGCGGTGCTTTGCAGCAGGGTTGCCGCCCATGTCCAGGTTGACAGTACGGAAGACGCAACCTATTAAACATCAGCTTATCGTCCAGTCGCCTGACTGCTGAGCATGTACCAAGCCAGACTTGAGCGATCGGCCCGCAGTCGTGAACATCTCAGAAGTCTGTAGTTCATAATTGTATCTCTTCAATGCCCACGTGATGACAATCATGAGCACTCTGAGGCGATGGTTAGCTGGCGATCCACAATGGTGTCAATACACATGCTTACGCAAAAAGGAATCCGAGGCCGATCATGAGGCCATAGCTTTCATCTGTCAGTCAAAGCTGGTTCGCGTGACATGAGAGAGACTGTAGTATGTGACATACCCCCAGCCTTGGTGGAGAACCGGAGTCGAGTCCATGCTCTCATTGATGCTCTCTGGCGAAGGCGGCAGGAAACAGCGATGTGTCGAATTTGTGCCACTAATGTCAATTGAGAGCAATATATCTCTTGCTTCTTTGTATGGATGCGGTGGAAATATCGCGCTTACGTCCGAGGACATCCGTCCGTCTATATAGAGCCGCCCCTGATTCCTGAGGGGCCGACGGGCCAAAGCCGCTGATATCAGCCACCACTAAAACTCAATACGGGCGCCCCAATGCTAATGCTGGGCAAAAAGATAAACATCTTCAGCCAAGACATACTGTTCCAATCTATCGGAGTAATGGATTCACCCAAGAGATAAGGTCGGTAACGAACGACATCGTGGGGAACTGCCCAGAAGTGACCGACCCGCTGACGTCGCCTTAAAAATCCATGGAAATGCAGCAACCCCACGAGGGCGGCATAAGCCATATCCCCGTGGGAGTCGTCGGGGCCTTTTTTGTGAAGAGAATAAAGCAATTTCATCTTAACCATTGGATCATCTAGCGAACCTCTGGAGCCAATGTGGTTCTCAAAAATGCTTGTTGCTCGCTTGCGGATCCTCACTTCCTTTGGCGAGACGTGCCCAGCAGCCGAGAGTTCAGTGTTAGGTTCTCACTGGCTGGGACCCGGGTGGCCAAGGTATTAGTATTTCTTGGACGTCAGGTCCCCTTATCAATTCCCAATCAGATCTCAATTGAAGATAAGCTCTTTGTGCGGCTGGGCGTTTTCTTCGTGCAGATTATGTGACAATCGCGATTCTAAAACCTAAAGATTCGACAAGCTTGAAAACCCGAAAATACTCTCCTGAAATATGAAATGATGGAAACTTGTCCGTTTGAGTGCTCAAAATGCTAGACCGCTGCCGCCCATTGCCGACACCGCCAACACCAGGCGGTTGGGCCCGCACAACCCCCTTGAAATCATGAATCTGGTCAACGTTGTTTTTCAGAAGTGAAATTTCAAGTCAAAAGAGCTAATAGAAGCCGCATCGCATCCAGAGACACGGCAGAACAGGTAGAACTGTGGTTCGTCACAGCCGACGCTTGTGATAAACCAAAGCTGCGGAATCGCATATGCAGCTATGGTCGCCGGCGGCGACTTGGCACTTGGCGCTCGCCGGCGGGCAACAGTCCACATTTTCCCGAGGATTCCGCTCCGCTTGTGCTCTGTATTGGACGTTTCCTTTCAAATTTCAGTGTCCCGTTATGATCATATCTGGACAGGAGGGTCTTCGGACTCGCTGAAGCAGCAGCCGGCCCTTTTAACGCTGGTCCGTTCCTGCTTCTCTAATGTCGCCATGAGATTTCGAGTTGCTGATCACAGAGTTAGAGTTGTTGAGGCGTTCAATTTGGCCACAAATCAAGTTGCAAACGACCTAAGTAAAAGCTCAAGCCGTCAAGACACGTAGACCGAGCCATTCCTTGGCGAGGTGAGCGAGCCGTAGCCGGAGAACTCGGTGTCTGCGACCGGGCATGTATTCATGGTGTTCCGATCCAGGTGGGGCCGATGAAGCAGATCTAGTGGATACCCTCCGGAACTTGCTCCGAAGAGTGAGTCTAGCCTGGCTTTTTGGCCTTAGTAATTAGCACGTTTCCGTGAGTTCAAAGCGATTCAATTACCAACGACAATCTTTTGGTGAAAGCCGTCTATAGTGTGTGGCGACCGGTGCAAGGGGTAGTCAGACAAGCCAATAATTTCAACGGTACTAGAATCATTAGACCTTCACGAAACGCGTGAACTCGGGCTAACAACCATCATAGCCGCAAGCATCACCATTCTCAAAACCATACCCATACCTCAGACAATATGCACAAGCATATAAGCCATCATCAAACTCAACAACCGGACTGGCACCGAGACAGCACGCCCCTCGCTTGAGCCAGTACCACCAGTGGTGGTGGGCGTTGTCGTCGCTGACGCCGTCGCAAACTCCCCCCAACCCATCAAACTCGACACGCTCCTCGCCTGCCCCTCGTTGAGTGTGGCTTTACAGCTCTCTGCCGTAGCAGTAACGCTGCTTGTAACGCCGCACGTCACCGTGTGACCCCCCAGCCCCGGTATCCCGTCATTCGCGAAAGTAGTCGTGGAGGCATAGTCCATCATTCCTGCCACCTCGCCGCAAACTCCAGCAAGGACAGGCGCTGCCTCTGTCTCGTCCGCTACCAGAAACTCGAACGATCCACCGCCAACAGGCAGCGCAATCCTAGATGAATTCCCGAATCCCGGTTCGAACTTGCACCAAGGGCCGCCTTGGAGGTTCCAGTGGAAGGTGTACGTCCCCGCCTCAAGGGGACCCGTCGTATCGGTGATCAGATGCGGGTTGTCCGGCCACCGAGTTGTGTTTCCAAACTGCGCGGAGATATTGTTCACGGGGAGACGCCAATCCAGGTCGGGATGCGGCTGTTTAAATGCTTCCCAGTAGAACGTCCAGCCGTAAGCGTTAGCTGTGGAAGGGTTGTGGATCGACAGCAAGACGGGGATGCCTGTGGTGTTGAGGGTGTAGGTCGTGTTTCCGCGGGGAAAGAGGAGATCTACTTCGACTGTGGTGTTTGGGAGGGCTGTAGCGATGGGAAGTACGGCGAGAAGCCAAGCAAAGATAGGACTTCTCATATTTGTGGTGGTGATGAGCAGTAAGCTCCCAAGGGAAGAATAAGATAAGCCGTTGGCTTGGCGATGAATATATTTTAGGTCGACTACGCCCGGGGGGTAACAGATACGCAATGGAGTTAAGAGGCCTAGATCTATGGCTGGGAGAGTAGAGACTGGGGAACGTGGCCCTACGAGTGGGTTAATAACGGTTTCGAGATATAGTGCAACTCCTTCCCTTCTCTGAGCCAGCTCTCCAATCATTGGCAGGCTGGATTCTTCCGGTGTAGGAAACAAGGAAGTTAGCGCATCGACCTGGCTGGACACAGGCAGCCTACGACTTGCTCACTATTCACTTCCTAGAGATCATGTAAACCATCTCGAAAACGATCAGCCGCTAGACCGCGCTTTGCGCCCGGTCGAGATGGTACGTGCGAGACCTTCATGCCTAGTTGAGCGATTTTGGGCATTTCAAGGTCGGGTACGTCAGCACTAAGGAGTCGACATGCAGGTCGAGTTGTGGCGACGCACTCAGGAATGAGCTTGATTGCAATGATTTCCGAACCCCTGTCTCTTGGCAATACATGACAGCCCGCCCGGCCCTCAGCCCTTTCAAATCTGGCATCTGTGAACGCCTCCCCATTTGTCGCACTCAGTGATGTCATTTGTTTCTAGCACACCTTATACCGAAATTGGATCTACACCGTGATGCACATGGACAGTTTTGGTAATAAAGCCACTTCAAACACCACGTCATTGCACGTCGTGAGTGAACCGGCAACAGATAAATAGTTACGCGCCGGAGGCAATGACCCGCTCAAGATCAGTCGCAAGACCATTCCACAGAGGACGTTAACGATGACCTTTCAAGTGTTGTCAACGCTCATGAGCGCACCCAAAGCCGTCATCGGCGAAATTGATAGATAGGTTTCACAGGGAAAGTGAGAGGCCACCACCGCTAACGAACATACTCTAGTCAAGCCCACGACCGGTAATTGATGTTAAATGTCCATATTGAGGGGATGGAGGAACGGTCTTGGGAAATTCGGATTGACGACCTAAGGGAAAGCTTACACACATCAGTCACTGTGCTCGCCCAGTAGAAGATTGGCGAAAGTGACACTGATTACCAAATGTTTTACTGCGCAGCTGAAGCAAAAAGTATATTGTTTACTTCTCACTGTATCTCGACGAAGGATATATAAGACTCGAGCTTCAGTCATTGAACGGCAGTCGGGGCCATGTGAACGTTCGCCGTTCGGCTGTTAAAGGTTCAGAAAAAAGGCTGATCACTCTGCATTATTCGATTCACATACAAAAGTTAAACAGTTTGTGAAGGTGTATTCGACAACGATTCAGGTTGGTCATCAATGCTCTTAATAACTAATATTATTAGATTACTGTATTACTTGTTCGAGGTCAAACATATCCCGCCTTAATTCTCAGCAACCATGAGCTGGTTAGCCTCGAAGGTCCACGGCTTTGGAGCGTCGACGTCGCGCTTGGCCACAGGCACGCGCTTCGGCACACCCTTCGGGATACCAATACGAGGTCTGTTAAAGGGCGCCGGGCGCTCAGCAGTACGCTTCCTAGCTGATCCGGTGGAGGCGTAGTCAATGCCGCCAAAGGCGCACTTTCCACCCTTGAAAGCGGCCGTGGCAGCGGCCTTCCAGAGGTTGGTGATGTCGGTGTGCATGCTGGCCTCCCAGAAGAGTCTGCAGTCAGAGTACTCGGCAATGAACTGCGCAGGGGTGCCATCGTCCCAGTTCTGGCGGAGGATTTCGTCCTTGACGTTGACACCGGCGGCTGAAGAACGAGAGGTGACATAAGTCGTGAAGCGGTCGAGCTCCGCAATCAGGGCCGGGTCCTCGGTATTTTCCTTGGCGAGTTGCGTGTAGCCGTAGACGCTGCTGAAGCCGTAGCTCTGCGATCCCTTGACGCCGCCGACGCCCTGGATCTTGCCCTTGATTTCAGGACGGCCACCCATGGCGATGCTCTTTACTCCGGCGTCCCACTTCATGAACTGAGAGAAGAGGGTGCAAGTCGAGGCGCAGTAGCCATCGAAAAGAAGAACGATGTTCTCAGGTCCGCCAAAGGGCCTGGTGAAATTCTTGCGAGAGCCGTAGCCAGTGATGTCGTAACCAATACCATAGGTGGTGTTGGTGGTGTCCAAGGGGTTGTTGAAGTCCCACTGGATGAGGTCTGTGTACTGGTCATCCTTGTACACGGCCTTGAATGTCCATGTTAGCATTTTTGATATTGATTCAAATGTGTGCAGATAGCAACTCACCGGAGGGAACTTGTCCGAGTAAGAGGTGAACTTGTCCAGGTTTCCGTCCAAGTCATAGCCCCAGTTGTAAACGGCCTCACACTGTTGAATGAGTTCGTCAGAAGCTGTCTCGGGGTCGTATCCCTCGCAGTTCTTGGAGAACACTTCTGAGACGGCCTTGAAGCCAGGGGAGTAGCGCCAGTGGCCAGTGCCCTCCTGGACAATGTCGGGGAAGATCTGTCGGAATCTGTGAAAATGTGTAAGCAACACTCTTCTCGTCAAGCTGAGGTACATCAACCTGAAAGACGGGAGGTTACTTACGTATCGTAGCCCTGGAAGATGTATCCACCACCGTTAACCTGTACATCGACGACGAGCTTGGTCTTTCCAGCGCGGACAGCAGCCGCGAAGAAGTCCTGAACAACCCTCTGGAACTCAGGAGGGTCCTCGGGTGAGAAAGAGAGCATAGCCAAGACGGCAACATCCTCGAAGCCCGGCTGGTCAATGAAGTAGCCAGACACAATTTCGTCGCTGCTGATGATGACAGGGGCAGGGTAGCCGGGCACCCCAGTAGGTGTGGCGGCGGGTGCAGCGGAGCTAGTCGGTGTGGCGCTAGTGGTGGGAGCGGCCTCCTTGGCGGCGACGGCGCCTGGGGCGAACTTCTTGAAGAACGTGGTGCCGTCGACGACGCCGGTCCAGTTGCCCTTGAGTCTGGCAACGTTGGAAAGCTCGACAGAGGTGCCGTTCTCGAAGGTGAAGGAAGTGGCTTCGCCAGGGTAGACGTAACGGGTACGGCCGCCCCGCTTGAAGTAGCCCGTGCCTCCGACGGCTCCGTAGGCCTTCTCGTAGAACATGGAGTTGTAGGCAGAGTCGGCATCCTGGTTGCCAGTGACCTTGAAGATGAGGTCCTGGATGAATTTGACCGCATCAACACCGTTGATGAGCTTCAGAGTGGACGCGGTGTCGGGGGTTGAGATGATGTCCTCGTAGATCTTGATAACCGGCGTGGAGCTGCCGTCCTCGCTGATCGAGACAAGACCATAGGGTCTCTGCCACTCAATGGCGTTGGTGAGAATATCAGAGTAAACGTACAAGTGTCCGTCGTGGCCGGGTCCGAAGACATTGATGAACATGTCCTGCTGCCAGGAGTATTCGTTGGGGTACTGGTCAGCCTCAATACCGGCACGGACTTTGTCGAGAGCACCGAAGAGATCGTGGGGCGGGAAGAAGTAGTCGGCTGGCGGGTCCTTCAGGAAAGCCAAGTCGGACTGCCACTCGAGGTACGGCTTCAGCTCGTCGATAAACTTAAGAGCCGCCGCCTTGTTCAGAGGCGCAGAGTTGATGCAGTCGTAGGCAAGCTTGGCCTCCACAGTCGGTGTAGCCGTAGCTGCGAGTTGAGCGGCCCATGAAGCGCTGACTGCAGAGCAAGCAGCCCCGGTGGGGGTGCCCACACTGGTGGTGGTCGACGGCGCAGCAATGCAGGAACAGGCACTCGAGATGCGAACCTCAGCATTGCCAACTTGGTTGGCCTTGCAGTTGTCGAGGGCGAAGGCCGGGGTAGCAGTAGGCGCAACTGTGCCAGCCGTGAAAGTGGCACAGAAAGCACGCGCAGTCTCTAGGCGGCCCGGGGTCTGAGTAGCTCTCAGAGCGCGGAGACAGTTGTCGGCATTGCAATCGGCCGCACTGGCAAGCTGAGTTGCCAGAGCAAGCACAACAGCGCTGCTATCAGCCAGAGAGAACTTCATGGCTGTGTCTGATATTCAGTCTGACGAGACCGAAAACAACAAATGGCTGAGCTGATCCACTGCAGAGTGCAAGCAGAACAAGATGGCGAGCAGCTCGTGAAGTATTGTCCGGGAGGCATGGAAGTCGCTTTTATATGCCCTGCCATGCATGCGGCGCTGCTGCACCGGGCAAAAGTCCATCTGTTTACCTTCCTTCCTTGGCCTGCAGATAGCAACATGCAGACCATCTCGTGGTGTCATGGTAATATCCCCTCTGCAGTAGCAGCACTGCAACGCGACAGGGGTTTGGCGGGAAACGCCCAGAACTGGCCCGCGGTTCCGAATTCCACAGTTCCCACTGACTGTTCTTAACAAAAGGCCCAAGCTAGTACTATCACCTTCCTCATTCGACTTAACATAAGAACCTTACCACTAGTTGGGGCCGTTGGCAAGACACGCCGTTAAGCCCCTCATCACGTAACGCCAACCAGTCTCGTCGGATGAAATTTTTTTTGGTACGAATTTGGTATGTCATTATATCTCTACTGAATCCCTCAAGATCAATTCTCTCAAGAACAGCGACGTGGGATTTCTGCATTGAAAAGTTCGATGTTCTAGGCAAGGTGAGGGGCTGCGGATGGCCTCTGCGACCAAGCCGATTCTGCAATGCGTCTCCCCCGGCCGATCATCATTTGAACGTGGCGTTGGCGCCATCACCCCTGCCCTCCGCAATTGAGGCACAGATGCTCAGGTTGCAGTGGCCGTCCGAGTGCTTGCAAGGCCTCTTGCCGACCAGGAGTGCGGTTTCTTAATCGCCAAGATAAATCGCCAAGGTGTTGAAGGGACCAATTGCCGGGAGCGTAGTGCTGACGCCAAGTTTCCAACAGTAAATATTAGAATCCTTTGCATTGGATTCGTGTGATAACATGCGCTTCTGTGGGGGCATCAGGCTTCTATGACCTCATGAAAGTAAGGAGACCAACCGTCCCAACACTTCTGGAAAGCAAGGGATTGGGACAGACTATGTACGATTTGCCGTTGCGATAACAGACATTGGGTGATAAGGATCAGGGGAAAAAGCGATAAGGGAGATAATACCTAGGTAGTAGGCTCCGCACAATGTTAGTCGGTACTGATTACCGAACGAGCTTCGAAAGTGTGGCAAATGACCCAGCAAGGCTTGCGAATGGATTGTTTTGAGAGATATGGAAAGCGGTATACGTTCGGGGTCACTTGGGAAGCCAAGTCGTCAACTTAAAGAAGGTTGAGGCTCACTAAGCCTGACAATAGCCTTTGATGACGACCCGAGCTTATTGCGGGCAGAACATTCCTCCTATTCAATTGGCAATTCACCAGGCCTCATTCGGCGGTCTCATCCACGGCTGTAGTTTGAGAACTCATTCGCTGGCATTATCCGCCATACTCACTCAACAGCCCTTCGCAGGGCCATGAAAGACAAAGAAACCCGTTGCGCCACGACCAGTGATCACCCGGCACGGCAATCCGATCGGGGAGATTGACTTAACCCCGCCCTCGGCATCGCCCGGTCATCCCGATGGAGCCGTTGACTGGATCAAATTGATCGTAGTCAACTCGCTTCGTGTTCAATTCCCATGCATCGTTGCCTCGTTTGCGATTTTCTGTACCGATTGTGGATTCTTAGACATAGCTCACCACCATGCCCGAAGAAATCGACGTTCTTATCTGCGGTAGCGGGTCAGCGGGCCTCTGCGCAGCGGTCTGGCTAGCTCGTTGCGGGGTCAAATTCAAGATCCTCGAGCGCCGGGAGGGTCCGCTCCAGCAAGGCCAAGCCGACGGCGTGCAGTGCCGGACAGTAGAGATTATGGAGAGTCTGGGGTTGTCGGAGGATTTATTGAAAGAAGCCTATCATGTCCTGGAGCTCGCATTTTGGACTCCGGACGGCAACGGCGGGATCCGGAGATCACACCTGGAGCCGGACACGGAGCCGGGGCTGAGTTGGCTGCCCCATGTTATCCTGAATCAGGTACGCACGTTTTCCATAAAGGACTTTAGCGACAGGCCTAATGAGACTTTTAGGCCCGGATCAACGAATTCATGATCAAAGACATCGAACGCGTATCTGGGCAGTCTCACATCCAGTATGGCAGCGACGTCCAGAGTGTCGAGGTAGACAGCCAGTTAGCCAAGGATCGAAAGGCTCATTGCGTCACGGTCAAGGCGGTAGAAAACGGAGTTGAGCGCACGTATCGAGCGAAATATGCCCTGGTAAGACTCCGATCATTCATGACACCTCATCGAATTGCTAACTAGGTACTTCAAGGGTTGCGACGGTGCCCACAGCTCCGTTAGAAAATCACTGGGGTTCAAGATGGTAGGGGACAGCACCGACGCTGTCTGGGCTGTGATGGACGTCTTTGCCAAAACAGACTTTCCCGACATCCGCAAGAAGTGCGTGCTGCAGTCTCCAGCAGGCAACCTCGTCATCATACCGCGAGAAGGAGATGAGAAGGTCCGATTCTACATGGAGATGCCTGGCTGGGCGGCTAGTGACGTCAAGCCTGACAAGGTGAAGCATCGCGTCGACCAGATATTCAGTCCCTACACGGTGGATATTGTAGAGACTTCGTGGTTCTCCGCGTATGCCATCGGCCAACGCCTTGCAGACAACTTCACCAAAGATCACCGTGTGTTCCTGACTGGAGACGCATGTCACACTCATTCGCCAAAAGCCGGCCAGGGTATGAACGTGAGTCTTCAAGATGGATACAACATTGGGTGGAAACTCGCCGCTGTGATAAAAATGGAGAACGACCCCGCGATATTGGAGACATATGTCTCCGAGCGGCAAGAAACCGCCAACGACTTGATTGAGTTCGATCGCCACTTCACCAACCTTTTCTCATCATCGTATCGGAAGGAACATGGTGTCACTGCGGAAGACTTTCAGGACTATTTCATAAAATCAGGGAGATACACAGCCGGACTCGCAATAGCGTACAAGCCCTCAATTCTGATTCGGCCAAGCGAGGCTGATAAGCTGGCATCGGGTGTGCGCGTGGGAATGAGATTTCCGAGCGCGCAAGTAGTCCGCGTTTTCGATGCCCGGGTCATGCAATTGGCGAGGGCCTTGCAGTCTGATTCACGATGGCACGTGGTTGTTTTCGGGGGAGATATCAACAATGCAGAAGGCGCGGCTCGTTTGTCACAGGTAGGTTCAGCGCCGTGTCGGCCAGCACGACCTTTATCAAGGACCCATTGATATTCTAATCATCACACCAGGCTACCTCAGAACTGGCTGCTGCTCTGGAACGTTTGGTTCTTGAACGTTTTCACTCAGTGTTGTTGCTCAAGTCTGACCGGAAAAAGCTGGATGAGAGGAAGATTCCCAGCTTCTTCATGCCAAACACAGGACATGGAGGAGTGCGACGTAAGTCCATCAACACCACATACTTGTGTCCATCAAGGCTTCATGTCGCTGACGAGAGCTATCCAATGCTTAGGTCTCCAAGATGTGTTCGTTGATGACCAGAGTTATCATGCTGGTCATGGCGAAGCTTACGCCAAATACGGCGTCGATGCTGCAGTTGGGACTATGGTCCTCGTCCGTCCAGACCAATGTAAGTGAGCCAGGTCTCTACCCCTCATTCATCAGCTGAGAAGGCCTCAAGACGTCTCTTTGATATGCCCATTGGGCCGAGCAGACGACATCGTTAAATTCTTCATGGACCCTACCACCCCCTCGAAAGGCTGAGAACTATGACGTTTTCTCGGAGCGTCTATCGAAATAATCTTCGACTCCACAGCCGATTGGTCGGTACTGGGGCATTCATTGGCTGCAGAAAGATTTTATATTGAGTTTCCACGTCTTCGAACTTCGACTACAATCTTGAGCAATAGAGATGAGTTCAGATGTAAAAGATGTAGAATTCTTTCGTCTTACCTTTGGTGCCTCACTTAGCTCGAGCATCATTAGGAAACTTTGAAAAGACTTTGTCTTCTGTCGTCGATATCCATCTGTGAGCTAACGGTGATACCTTGGTGACAAGAGCCGGCGTAGAAAGCATGCAAAGAATCTTTCAACGAAAGAGAGCATCCATTACAGCCTTTTACAAAGCCCCCTTCTTCATACCCCGACCGCCTTCAGTGGCTCTAGTGAAGTTGCGAAATCTTGTAGCGGCCACCCATCTGGGCTGGTTTGTCCAATGATTTCGCGAAGAGTTTTGGGACTGCTTTGGAGGAACAAGTTCAATCTTGACTACAGCATTTTGAAAGGTTTCTATTATTCCTCTTTACTCAATCAGAGTGAACTCCTGTTTTCTGCATGGCTGCCAGAAGAAAGGTATGTGGAGACGGTTTTGTATGTCTGCTTTATGTGTGCCCCGCAGCTTTATGCTCTAGAGAACCCCAACAACTTTGTTAACGCTTCCATTATTATTCAATTTGGACAACTGAGAAATACGTCTTTGCTCCAAACAGGTGACATTCAAGTATATCAAGCCGGTATCTTTATGAAATCTGAAATCAACTGCTGCTGCTCTAGTCCTCATCGCGTTTGTGCCATCCGTTGCGACTGTGGGCGACAGCAACAATTACTCCCTCAAGCAATCCATCCTCGCCTTCTGTGGCATCCTGTAACTTCAGTGTCACCCACCAGCTGTCGCCATTGGTCAACGCAAAAATGGCTCGCCTCACCGGTCTGCCGTCTGAGTTGATCGAAATGATATGCGACTACATTCGCCCGATGCAACCGATGAGAGACCGCTTCGCCAAGACCACACATGAGAACAACCCCATCGACAGGGTCCTCCTGCTGGAATGGCGGTCTCTCAGAGACCTCTCCGTAACCAGCCGATACTTCCGAAACGTCATCATGCACGGCGGCCTTCTCCACCGCACGCTCATCATCCGTGACTCCTTTCATGAGCTCTTCAACCTCCTGAAGCTCTTCAAGTCAGACCCGGAGCTCGCCCTCGCAGTCAAACAGCTCTACATCCGCATTTCCCGGTATGATCCTGGTCCGCAAGACTTTGGTCCCCACTACACGCTGCCCATCCTTACGGCAATCAAAGACTTGGGCATGGACTCCGAAGCTGCGCGGCGCGAGGTTCTCCCCCGCTCTAGGGAGGCGTCGCCCGTCGGTCTTCGCGCCATCTCGCCCTTCAGCCTTCCCGCCACTCTTGAGAATGAGCCCGATTGGCAGGTGTCTGTCAGGCGCTACGGCGTTCTCGTCAAGCTCGTCCTGGCGCAGATGACCAATCTAGAGGACCTTGGCGCCGATATCATGAGCGCGGACGTACTCAAACCTCAGAACAAAGAGTACGGGCGGGCCCATCGCGAGTTCATCAATGTCCGGAACCTCTCTCAGCTAAGGTCTGTGTCTCTCAGGGGATCCAAAGAGAGCGGCCTAGTCAGTAGTGATCTGGACTTCCTGTTGAGATTGGGACCCGTCAAGCATCTCTATATCGACACCATGAACGCAGGATCACGCACCGCAGAATGGGTATACAACCTATTCTTCACTCTGGTGGGCGTCCTGGACAACGTCACCACGCTCATACTCAGCAACAGCACTTTCCTCCCTCTGGGTCTAAAATTCGTCCTCCGTCATTGCGCACCGCTCTCAACCTTCAAATACAGCTTCACCAATGGACAGATATCCAGTCTCTCTCTGCCATCTGAAGTCGTCGCCGTTCTGGGAGCCTGGCATGGGAAAACCCTCCGGACGCTTTGCCTCAGATTCCTGCCCGTCGGCGGCAACAACTACGTCGCCAGATCCTCCACCTCCAACTCTTTAATCAAGTCTCTGCAGGGATTCGACGTTCTGGAAAGTCTCTGGGTCGACCTGGATGCCGTGGCTGGAGGCACTGAGAGGCGTCCCGCAGCATCTCAACCGGCAAACTCCCACACGCTGCCTTGGATCATCGGCACGCCGGAGCGCTTCGTTGCAAGCCTTCCTCGAACCCTGAAGAGAGTCTTCCTCTGTGTCCCGTATAGGACCAACGGCTGGGACGATAGTGTTGTTTGGCTGGCGCGCGCTGCAGATGAGTTCCCTGGTCTCAATGACATACTTTACTACACCGCGTTACGAGGATACACTTTCCGTATGATTAGTAGAAGGCCGGTCAGGTGTCCTTATGTGCCGGTTCTGCAGTGGGATTAATATGCTTGACTGCTTAGGGAGTTGGTTTTGAGCTATCCTGCATCAAGACCAGGCTACAGGAAGAGGGCACAGATGTTGATATCATGGCATTAGTCTTGTATTTGTATCATTCTTAACATTAATTCATCGCTTTCATCCAACTCAAGCCTTCCCCCACCCCTGAACCACGCCCACGAACCTCTCAACCTCCCCCACCTCCGTCGCCCACGTCGTAAGCAACCTCACAACCGCCTCTCCATCCCCCCTCTTCTCCCACACATAAAACACAAACCGCTCCTGCAGCGCCGCAATCAAGCCCACCGGCAACACCGCAAACACCTGATTCGTCTGCGTCACCGCGTACACGCCGAACCCCGCCGCCGCGATCCCCGCCGACAGCCGCGCCGCGCACAGGTTCGCCTGCCGCGCGAGGTCGAAGTACAGCTCCTCGCGGAAGAGCTCCGCGAACTGCGCGCCCATGACGCGGCTCTTGGCCAGCAGCGAGCCGTGCTGCTTCACGTAGAACTCGAACTCGGAGGCCAGCCGCGCGTCTTTGACGACCACAGCCTCGCCGAGGAGGGCGCCGTTTTTTGTGCCGCCGATCCAGAAGATGTCTGTGAGGTCGAGGATGTCGCGGAGGGTCATGTCATTGGCGGGACTAGCCAGCGCGGTCCCGATGCGCGCGCCGTCGAGGAAGAGGAGTAATCCGTTTGCCTCGCATATTTGCTTGATCGCCGCGAGCTCCGCCTTTGTGTGCACCGTCCCGATCTCCGTGGCGTTGGAGATATACACCAGCCTCGGCTTCGCCATGTGCGGGAAGTGCCAGTTATCATCAACAGCGCGCTGGATCGACGCGGGCGTGAGCTTGCCACCATCCAGCGGAGGGACGTTGATGATCTTGTGCCCGGACGCCTCGACGGCGCCCGTCTCGCGCGTGACGATGTGGCCCGAGGACGCGGCGATGACGGCCTCGTGCGGGCGCAGGCAGGCGGCGATGGAGATTGCGTTGGCGGAGGTGCCGCTGGGGACGAAGAAGATGCCCACGTCCGCGCGGCCGAGATGCCGCCTGATGTGGCCGCGGGCGATCTCGCAGCAGGTGTCGCCGCCGTAGCCGGTTTCTTGGGTTGTGTTTGTGGCGATGATGGCTTTGAGCAGGGCTGGGTGCGCGCCTTCGGAGTAGTCGTCGAGGAAGCTGTAGCGAGGGGCCGCTGTGGGCGCGGGGAATTGGGAGGGCATTGTGGCTTTGGGGTTTGCTGATTAGGGAGATGGTGAAAGAGGGTGGGAGGTTGTGTGCTCAACCCGCAGCTCCCGGGGGAATTGCTATATACATTTTGACCTTGATTGTTTTGTGTTGCTGATGGCATGGAGCGCCGTGGAACGCATTATCGTCCGATGACATAAAATCCGAGCGGGTTACTAACTGCTACGTTAGTCAGTGCGGGAACCCGGTGGGTCGGTGCTCATGCTCAACAAAACACTGACAGGAACATGTCGCGTGTGTCTCGAAACTTTAAAATGAAAGTACGGCTACTTGCGGCGTGGTGGCGGATATGTTCGGCATCGCGGGGACCGGATGGGGATCCCGGGTTGTCTTATCTTTTGGCAGGGAGCAGGGAGCTTGATGTTGACCCGTGTGTCCAGCGTGCGTTTTGTCGGGGGGGTGGTCACGAGGATATCGTCTGCGACGCGTCCAGCGAGAAGTCGATGAAACTGCGGTACGTCTCCACGGTTGAGGCGTCGAGGGGCCGCGGGTACGTGAGGACCTTTTGGGACCTCGGGCGCAGGGGGACGCCGCTTGCGGTGAGGTCGTTGGCGTGGTCGAACAGCTCGGGGTACTTCGCGTAGAAGGCCGGGTCGATCTTGTAATACGACGCGCCCTTGTCCATGTTGAGCTGCTTGAACGCAGCGCGGGCGTACGCCGGCGACGAGAAGAGAGCCGTCACGTCCGGCGCCGGGAGCGTAACTGCCGTCGTCGTCGTGTCGGCATCCTCGTCGGTGGTGGTGGTTGACATGGCCGTGATGAGGTCGGTGACGCGGATGTAGACGGTGACGTCGGGCGCGCCGCGGACGAGGTCGGACATGGTGGTCTCGACGACGTAGCCGGTGACGGCGTCGCAGAAGATCTGGTCGATGTGCGGGTTGGCGGCGTGCAGCTGGATGAGGCGGTCGCGGATGGAGGGGAAGGGGATCCAGTCGATGACGCGGGGGTGCGGGTGCTTCATCTGCGCCTCTGTTGGCCGGTAGCGCTGGTGAAGCTTGTCGAAGGTGGCGGCGGAGGGGTAGAGTTGCCAGGCGGTGAGCTCGATGATGTGGAAGAAGCGTGTTTTGGCGTACCAGGCCATCACGTCGGGGCGAGTCATGCTGTTGAACATTGATAGGACCATGAGAACTGGCTGGTAGATGCTTTGGAGGGTTAGTTCCTGTGTAGGTTGGGTATGTGTGAGGTATTGTGAGATAATTACCCTTGCATTGAGGGCTGGCCCTCGGGAGAGAATCCGGAGGCGGCCAACTTGCTCTTTAGAAGACGTTGGAGGAGCTGGATATGGTCCGAGAATGGCGAGTTTGATAGCGTCCAATTCTTTCTGAGGACCAAGCTTGACTCTTGAGTTGCTGCCATGGCTGCCTGGTATGGCTCAACGCCGGTTTGGTACTCAAAACTCCAGATATTCGGGATCTGATTGTACAGAGGGCTGATGCCGGCTGCGTTGATCAGTTCGGGCAGCGCACCAGTGTCGTCTAGTTGTCCTTTTGAGAGTTAGAATGAGTTTCCGTGGTGATACGGATGAGCACTCACCTGCAGCTGGTTCATGACCTAGGTGAGCATCAAAGTCAAATAGTGTGGTGTCAAAAGACGTCATGTCCATCGACCGTAGCGCAAGCGCATCAGCTGTTTCTGATTGATGCAAGCGACTTTCTTCTATCCCACTCGGGCCCTCGTGCGTCTTGCCTCCACCTGAAGCTGTGTCGTTGAGGGTCTTGGACACCGTATCATTCAACCCTTGCAAGCTGGCCATGAGCCGAGACAGTTTTGTCTGGACCTCGACCAATTGCGCCCGGAGCTGGCGGTTCTCCTGCTGAAGAGCTGCGACTCGCTCATCTTCTGGTTTCTGATCCGTGTTGACCCTATTGCTGAGTTCTCGGATGCGCTCTTGCTGTCTGCGCCGGAAGGCCTGCTGGGAAAGGCGGTTGCGAAGTCGCCTAGAATTACGTTAGCCGTCGCAAGTGAATTATTCATGGTACGAGTTGATTCATACTTCCGCTCCTGCTCCGTCATTGTGTCTTTCTCATCACCGTGAAGATGAGGCTCGTTGTGACCCATGGTGGTGGTCGCTTTCCTTGGCATTCTGGCGTTGATGGCTCATGAATGGTGAGAAGTTGTTGGTCTGAAGGGAGCTAGCTTATCGATCGTCGCGAAATTCGGAAATGTCACCGCCCAGGCCAATTGGGTTTGACGAGGGCCCGTGCGCAGGACTAGCGCCGGGACCCACCTCCGATCCACCCTCCGAAATCTCCGGTTCGCAGGCACCGGAATCGGCGACAGGCCTTCCGGTCCTCGCTATCTCTCCACCGGCCCGGTGCTATGCCGGCGTTGTGCTGCTTTCACCGCCCATCACCCCGCGACTCGCAATCTGTTTATGACGAAGTCCACCCACATCATGTCGCAACCTGCCATGCAAACTTGTTGTGGCCATGTTTCGCTTATCGGAGATTTTAAGACATACTGCCTCTCAGTGTCTTAGGGTGTCGTCCTGGGGTAGGTATACCGCTTGTGGGATAGCGGCCGTTGTTTTTACCGTCTTTCATCATGAGGCGATCAAAGACTTGTCGCAAATGCGGTTTCCTCTTATCTCTCGCATCAAACACGCTTTTCTTCAGCAACGTCCAGCCCCGCTCATCACAGTTGATTGGCGTCTCCTCTGAGCAGGAACAACGCGGCAACCCTTGAAGCCCAAAGCATGACAGCCCAAAATGGGTCTTGAAGCTGTGATGTGTCTTTAGCCATCACCATCGCCAACCACTTGGGTAGGCTCGATGGAGATCGCCAATCGCACAACCCCCTGGACGAACAAGCACCACTGCATCCAATTGCGTCAAGTAGCAGTCAGCCACATATACGAAAAAGGAGCAGCCACCAGGCAAACAACACATCTCGCATGCAGCAATCACGGCAGCAGACATCGACCGCAGTCCAATAGTCTGCCAGTCTCCTCCCGCCGCCATCTCTTTTAATAGGCCAGGGTGCGGTGGGAGGATAGACCCTGGCCGTTGAAACTCAGCGGCTGGGAGAAAAAAAGGGGACGCTCCTTGGCTGCTCCCGACGGGGACCCGCGGGGCGTGGGAGCCGACCAGTTACAGGCGACGGGAGACGCTTAGTGGGGACCCAGCCACTGACATTCCCGAGCTCAGCGCAGACAGAGTGACAGCCCACCACCCAACGGGCCAATGCACGTAATCGTCGTCGTGCCATTGTGGGCTCTGCTGCGAAAATTGTTAGTGTCGTCGCCTTTTCCCAGCCACTTGGATACTGTCAATGTAATAGTCTGGCTCTTCGCTCGAGAAAGAAGGAAATGTCTGTGTTTCTTTCTTTCCTAGCTCCCGTCGTTCCAGTCTGTTGATCTTCGATCTTTTTGCACCTGTCAAAAAGTACCAACGTCTTTTTGCCGTCTTTCAGGGTTGGCCCCTAATCATCAAGCTTCGTGTCTTTCCCAGCCTCCATCGAGAGACAGAAGAGACACCGAACCCAGAACCCGGACGAAGAGTTACAGCGTAGTGTCTCATTCGTCCTCCTCCCACTGTCACTCCCAACACAACGCTCAAACGGCGGCCTTCCTCGCAATCATGGCCATGGGCATCCAGCAGCAGAACCACCACCACCAGGGATCACCGCCCATGTTCCCCGGCGACTTTGTCGACTACGGCGGCCAGTATGAGACAAACGACCGCCAGCCGCGAAACACCGCCAACGGCACCGGCAACGGTCGCTACCGCCGCCCTCGATCGCCCTCCCTCGACGACGACTCTCGCTTCACCACCGGCGCCCCCAGCGAGCAGACAAACTCTGAGCTGCACGACGCCGTCCTCGCCCAGGCGGCCCATCAACAGGTGAGTTAGGTCACTGTGGCTTACACTGGACATCCCACACAAAGTACAAACAGAGAGAGCACGGAGCCCGAGGGAAAAGCAAGACCTGCTTGGAGCTGGTAGCTGCTACAGGCACCGTGCCACCAGCCTCCAGAATTTCTTACCTCATGCTACCTCCTCAAACTCTTTCCTCGTACAAGGAGCCAGCGCTCGCACCCCCCAACCTCCCACCTCCCTCCCCTCCCTTTTCACACCTAAACACGGGCACACCCGCTTGCTCGTGCTGCCCAAAAATCATCAGACGAACACACACATACACCTACGCGCACATACACATCCATTACCTCACACAAACACCACAAACCACCACCACCGCGTTCGCGAACACCGCGACAAAAGACACACAACCGCTGACAATGTCTGCCACAATGCAGCAGCGAGTAGTCCCAACAACCCAGCCCGCCGGCGCGCGCACCCAAGCCCGCGCCGCCGGCCCCCGAAGCGGCCCCCCCTCCATGGCAAACGCCTCCCAGAACCGCCGCTCATACCCTCAACCGCCGCCCGTCAACTCCCAACTGCCCCCCTACGCCGGCAACCCCGAAGACGAGTGGTCCCCGGCCTCCCGCGCCGCCGCCGCAGCAGCCGGAGCATCAGGAGCAGGCGCAGGAGGCTACTCCCGCCGGCGCACAGAACGCCACGCGCGCCGCCAGTCCTCCACCTCCGGCGCGCCCACCGCCTCCGACCCCGCCCTCCAAATGTCCGGCGGCGCCGCCTCCTCCTCTCCCCGAATCAACAACAACGGCGACCACCACCCGCAGCGCGCGCCCTCCAACCCCGCCGGCCTGCGCCCGCCCTCCCCGCCGACGGCCGGCATGAACCTCGGCCTGGCCGGCGACGAGATCTCGCGCCTGCAGAGCCCGTCCATCTCCAAAAGCGTTCTGGAGCCGCTGCAGCGCAAGATGCTCGAGTACCACAACCTGATGGAGGAGGCGCAGGGCCAGATGACGCAGCTCGACGCCGAGCTGCGCGCGCTGCAGGAGCGCCGGCGCCAGGCGGAGCAGCGGTTTGTCGATGCCAAGGGCAAGCACGACGAGTACGAGCGCCAGCACCTCGACGTCGAGAAGGCGCTTCGCGGGGACTACGCCATGCCCATCCCTCAACCGCAGCAGCAGCAGCAGATACACCCGCAGACGTCGCAGCAGCAACACCAGATGTACAACGACAGCCCGCCGCGGACGCTGGGGCGCCCGGCGTCGAGCATCATGAGCTACGACGAGAGGCCGATGAGCGGGCGCAGCTCGATGCAGGGGAAGAAGGGCAAGTTCCGGATTAGCTTGTTCGGGAGGTAGATCAGCGTGCTGATTTTGGTGACACAGCAGGGGGTGTTCTTCGAAGTTGTTTTAATATTTCTTAAGTTTGTGATGATGAGGCATTGATATCTATCCGAGAGAAGGGTAGGGGCACATGTAATGACTTTGTTTAATGCGCGGCATGGCAGAATAGAATGCATCTTGCGACGTTCTTGGTGAATGAAACTTGTCTTCACTCATTTCAATGGTCCGCTAGTGATTGAATTTGCGCCCATCACTCTTCACGTGCCTGGGCTCCGATTCTGGATTCCGGAACTAGCTCCGAAAGGGCCCAATTCATCCGGCGACGACCAGCCCCGCACCGTCCGGGATCATCCGGACCCCAACGGAATGGTTCATCTAGCCCTTGAACCGGGCCAGAAATGCCCTAATAAGCAGTGTGGTAGCATCGGATGTTACGCCCTTTTTCGGCAGTTTCTTCGTATCCTCTCTGTCTAAAACCTACATGTATCTGATGATCTTGTCCGGTTGCCTATCCTGTGACAGGACAAGCAGGACTGTAAGAGGCTCTCGCAAAGGCAAGTTAACAAAACAAACAAGTTGCTGAGTCCATCCGGCATTACTACATCTCTTTTATATGCAAGTACCGAAGTAGGTTTGCGGCTGCCTTCGTCCATGTCTCAGTGATGCCTCTCAAAAAGTCCTCGTCTCTGTAACCTGGTGCATACGCCCGTCACAACTTTTGACTGCCTTTCTCGTTTGGGTACAACCTCCTTTATGGGTCGGTCTGCCCATTAATCACACCATCCCGCGACTTGCTCCGGGTCGGCAAAGCAAATTTCGCGCCTGTCAGCGCACTGGTAGCCCTTGGTGGCGATGGTCTTGCAGGCGAACTCCCACGGGTCTCCCTCAATGTATCCGCCTTCTTTACTGTAGCACTATAGACTTGTTCAGCTTTTGCTCCCGTCATCCTACCGAAGATTGCTGTCGTTTCCTCACGCGGCCAGAAGGAGCGTCATCTTCACCCTATTCTTGACTTCATCAGCAAAAGTGATTGGTTGCTAGTGACTGTCTCTGTAAGCTGACGGCTGACGGACTGAGCCCGCGCCAAGTAGTTTAACGCTTGCTAGAATGCTAGTATACGCAGCCTGACAGGCACACGTCGAGTTTTATTACTATCGGTTCTTTCATGTGTCCAATCAACAAATATTCCGTTGTGGCGTCCCGAATCCTCGGCGTCTATTCACACGACCAGGTCTGACTCCCGTCCACCAGGCTGAGAAAGATGGCAATCTGCACAACCTAGCGCATCCAACTTATCTCACGATCGGAAAACGTGATTTTCTGCATTTGCCTATCGAGCTTTCACACAATCAATACCACAGCCGCGAGCAACCTTCCACCGCAATGAGCACCAAACCTCGATACTCTTACAGCCCGCTGCCGAGCCCTCGTCACACGCGTCTAATCAGGCTCCATGCCAGCGACACGGATAACTATCCAATAATCTGTGACCTCGTGGAGGTCAACATCGACGATAGGCCTACGTACGAAGCTTTGTCGTACACATGGAACAACGAACATCCGACCAAGCCTCTGGAAATCGTACCAGCGGAAGGTTCGAACATTACGAGCCTTCTCGTGACTACAAATTGCGCGAGAGCGCTCAGAATATTAAGGAAGCGCATCAAACCAAATTCTACCGCCAAAATTGGGCTTTGGGTCGATGATGTTTGCATCGACCAGTCTTCCTCTGGAGAGAAAAGTGCCCAGGTCGCCATGATGGCCGAGATCTATCGGAACGCGAAAGCTGTCCTCGTCTGGCTGGGAAACAGTCATGCACCTCCGAACCGAAGGAGCATGATGTTTTTCCCGCTCCTACACCCGTTCAACGAATTGGCCATGGGAGAGCGTTCTCAGAGCTGGAAGCCGCGATGGGTGAAGATGCTGTCGTCCGCAGCACCAATAGTGGCAAAGATAGTCGAACGAGGTACGTGTTTCAAAAGCAGAACGTGTTTCAAAAGCAGTATATCAGAGAGCATTCCTTGTCAATGAAGATAACATGCGTGAGAATATACCGATTCCTGATAGTCTGACACAGTCTCTAGGAAGTACTAAATCACTGCCAGTTCTGACCGCGCCGTACTGGACCCGAGCCTGGACTTTGCAAGAGTTTCCGCACACAACCTCTCAGATACTATGCCTCAATTCGAGGACCTTCCCCATTCATGGCATAGGTCTCGCGCATGTACATTTCGAGGCGACATCAAACATCCATATACACCACCGACTATTTGAATGGGCAAGGCGAGAAGATATATGTGGTAGCGAAAGACCGAGACTTTTGAGCATGTTCCTGCCAGATGTTCTGGAAATGGAGTGCTCAAATCCCCAAGACAGAGTCTATGCACTGAGAGATCTGTTTCCCAGTGTATTTGGCAGCATCAAAGTCGACTATAGCCGCAGCGTTGAGGACGTTTTTATTGAAGCTACGAGATGCCTCATTTTATCAAGCCAAAACTTGGAGGCTCTATACACATCCTGCATATGCGACAAGTGGTACAGAAACGGCGGACCGTTCAAGCAGCTATACAACGTACCCTCGTGGGCCATTGACTGGACTGCTAGGTCAGACGGGCTATACCGCGCTTCTGATGGGTTATTTCGAGAGGACGAGAGCTGGTTACCGGTTTCCCTCAATGTCGGGTTCACTGAATACCCCTCTCTTCCCGCATCGTTCAGCGATGACGGTCTCCGGTTGAAGCTTTGGGGGAAAGAATTTAGCCAGATTAGCAGCTGTGTTAGCGAAAAGCTCACCTTCCACGCGGACCCCCGAGCAGGTGGCAGGCATTTCATCCGGGTAGTCGCGAAGCTCTTTTCAGATGCTGCTGGAACGACATTTGCAATCACAGATTCTCTCGGTCATGCCATGGCACAAATCCTACGCACAATCTATTTGGGCTGGTCTGACATCTGTAAAGACGCCCTCAACGAGATAGAAGTTGAGCGTAACCCACAGAGGGTATGCGAATTACTGAAAGTGCAATGCAGCTCAATGTGCCTGTTGCTAAGGAGAAGAAGGTTGTTTATTACGACAGATGGTAGGCTTGGGGTTGGAAATCGTGATGTATGCCCCGGGGATTCGATATGCACATTCGCCGGCCTTAACATGCCATTCATTGTGCGCCCAAAAGAATCCTACCATGTTTTGATCTCTCCCGCCATCGTGGATGGAGCTATGAATGGCGAGATGTGGCCGGGATATCAAGAAGAAATTGTTCCGTGGGAGATTACATGAATAGTTTACTTGCCTTCAACCATCGAAAATGGAGATGGGAATGTAGTGTAGGGAAAGATGATTTAACTTTCATACCAGCTTGACGTCCATCAGCGTGACCTCGCCCATTTCCAACATTCCCATACTCTCTCCCGTCATCAGATCTTCGACGTAACTTTGTGAAAAGCCTCGTAAGAGCCAGCGTCCCCTGAAGGTCGCAGAACAGCCAGCCCGTCACATCCCAAGAACACGAAAATGGCATCGACAGGTAGTACGGGGCGAATCGCGGTACCACAACGGCCTGCCACCGTAGGAATGATTGGGTACATCACGCCGACATGCTTATCCAGCGGCTGAACAAAACCATCAGCATCATGGCACTCTGGCAATGCTTCGTCGTCATCAACATCCATTTAGTCAAAGAATGAACCAAAACATTGGGCCCATGACTGGAAGTTGTCATCGAAGTGGATATACACCTACCTATATCTGCGTTCATTTCATGTCAGAGGACCAAACCCCATCCCTTCTCCCTCATCACACGGCTGCGTGGAGTCGAGACCTCAGGCGAATGGCCAAGCCACGGTATGTCGAGAACCGTAGTACTGGTGTGACAATTCCAAGATGGATCCCTATGTAGGGTGCGCATCAAAGCTGTCCTGCAGTCATCGGAAAAGACCTGCTCCACGGGCTTGTTGTAGTCGGGCCTGATGTGCCTAGCGATATAGTCGTGCATCATGCCCATCAGCCCGTACAGCTTGTCGCGGAGATTGGCAGCGGAGAAACCGAGATAAAATCACAAATCTTATCGAGATGGAGCTGGACTTGATGCGTGGCGACGTGGAGTTTATGCGAAGCGCACTGAATCAGAATCAGGACGAAAACATCAAGCTGTTTACCGTCATCACCACAATCTTCGTTCCGCTAGGCTTCGCAGCCAGCATATTCAGCATGGATCAAGCGCCAGAAACCACCACCCTGTATTACATGTTGGCCACCGCAGCCGGAGCGTTTGCTTTCACAGGAGCAATGCTTTGGATTATCAAAGAGGTCGACTTGAGGCAGCCATGCGGCGAGTTCAAGGGCTTTTTCACGCGTGACAGGACCGATATCGATGACGGAGACACAGAGAGCAACGAGGAAGAAGAATACAAGGCTGTTGTTGGGTCAGCCCATTTCTAATAACATCAATTACTAAGAGTAGCCATGGTCAACACCGCGACTTCATTGGAAATACATATTGCAGCCCTCAGGCTTTTGTACATGACACGGAAACAAAGCAGTTGTTTATCAGTTGCACTCAGAAGTTCTTCCATGATCTAGACTCTTTGAGCCCTGGATTCATGACATATTCAGCTGTCCAGAGCCGTAGTACCCAGCACTTCATGCACACTTCCAATCTTGTCGATCCTCCCGTTTGACAATAAGGCAACCGCGTCCTGGCCCTCCCGCATATTCTCGGCTAAGCCGCCAAGTCTGTGCGATATGGCGATAACCGTGTGTCCCTTTGCGGTAAACTCTTCGTGAATGATGCGGCTCATGGCAGTCTCGGTGTCGGGATCCAGCGAAGCTGTAGCCTCATCAAGGAGAAGAATCTTTTTTCCGAGAAGCTGTCCACTCAACACAGAGGCCTCAGCAGCGTCAATCGACTTTTGGAGGATCGCTCTTGAAAGTGAAAACAGCTTTGTTTGACCGGTAGACATTTGAGGTAGAGATGACATAGAGGTATCCAGGATGTCCTTGGCCTCCGAGGGAGAAATCTCAGACTTGCCCGATTTGAAGTGAGACCATAAACCAGTCCGCTGAAGAACATCGATGATAAGGACGTCGGCGAGGCCGCGCCATCCCACCATGGATATGGGCTGGAAGCGAGGGGTGTCAGTACACATGCATCGCGCAAGTATGCGGAATGTCTTGTGGAGTTAGGTTGGAGCTGCTTACGTTGAGATTGAAGCGAAGGCTGGTTTGGTCTAGAATGAAAGGGTCCTGGCAGACAGTGATGAAGCAGTCTTCTCGAATCAATGAACGTGGGACTAAGCTTAGGTCGACTCCGTCCACTTTAATACTTCCAGAACTGACATCCAGCAGGCGGAGAAGTGCCAGCAACAAAGTGCTCTTTCCGCTATGTTTGTATTGAAGTTAGCCATTCTGCTTCACTGTTATTTTCAGGCTGACATACCTTCCCGTGCGACCGCAGATGACAAGTTGCTGGCCACCAGAAACTTTGACGGTGACATTTTGTAGAACAACGGCCTCAGAACTGGAGAATACCGTCAGTTTGAGAACGAAACGTTGAAGTGCCTTCGGTCGTACTTGTAAGCCACTGTCACGTCATTGATCTCGACTACTCCAGCTGAAGGCCACGACAGCTCGGGAACATAGTCCTCGCCTGGTTTATCTTCTTTTGGCGTCTGTTCTTCGAGGTTCTTTAGGCGAGAGCTGTCGTCTCGTCAGTGAAACGATCAGATTACTAACCTTACCTATGGATTGGTTTGGTCGCGTCTCAAGACCAAATCGGTAGCGGGCGGAAGAAGTTGAGAGGAAGAGAGAAAATTAAAAAACAGCTTACATCGTACCAAGGGATACCTCTAGATTTGTGAAAGCCGACACAAAACTCAACAGTGTCGAATTCACGACAAGCACTAAGTTTAGCGCCATGCCAATTTGTCCTGCCGTCGTTGTACCCTTCATCAAAACAGCGAAGGCCATGAGACTTGTAGCGATTGCAGCCACAATCAGGTCAAGTACAATACACAGCCAACGTTGAAGACAGAACAATATGTAAGCAGGCTGTTGCGACTTATCGAGCGATCGGATGTTTGCGTTCTCGACTTGTTTCTCCCAACCGAATGCTCGGATTGTTGCAAGACCGTCCAGCTAGCTTGACGTCAGGCAGTAATTTCAGAAGCGTCGTGGATAGATAACTTACCGACTCGAGAAAACTAGAGTACACAGCTGATTGCGACTCAAGATCGAGAAGTCGCAACTGTCTCGATGTACGCAAGTAGACCCGCTGCACAATGTAAATGGCCACCACAACCAGTGGAAATGCCAATGTCATCATCTTCTGGGCGCTGAACAGCAGAGCCGTTTGCACTATCAGTTTGAAGATCTCTGGTGAACCTGTTAGTGGGTGCCGGAGTAAGACTTTCCAAGGCTGCTACTTGCGGACTGTCAAGGAAAGAATAGCGGGTGGCAACTGCCGATCCACCAACTGGATGTCTTGGCTGAAGCTGCGATGACTTAGCAGAGAACGCGATTCGCCTTAAGTGCCTACTCACCGGTTAAGAGTAACACCTATGTCAGTGTTTGAGAAGAAGGACAACGGTGCGCTACGCATTGTCAGTCAAGTATCGAAGCCGTCATAATGAAGGAGACGAACTCAATCACGGTTCCCAGAAGGCGCCGGTGGAGCTCCATGCCGGAGTGTGGAGCTATTAAGAGCCATGTGGAGCTATTCCGGGGTCAGCACGCTTCAAGAATGTCTAGCAATGTGACTTGTAACTCACGACATGGAACCGTTGGTGGAACACCATGCGAGAAATGAGCACAAGACATAACCTCCGGCGTAGAACCAGGTCTCTGAATTAGGTGCTGAAGTCCATTTCTGCAGCCAGTACTGTGGAAACGTCGCAAAAAAAGCATTTCCAGCTGTGCACAGCAACAGAAGTAGAAAGTTTCGAAGCTTTACCGCTGTAATGTAATAGCCTACAAAGAGATACAACGTTAGATAATAAGCACTGCCAAAATGGCGAGGGACTATACCATAAAGCGAAAAGTCACCGGCCGCTCGGCTCAAGTCAGAGATGCCTTCTTCTACTTTCAGCTTCTGTTTGAATACGGTCTTGTCTATCTTGACCTCTTGCACCGAGCTTTGATCATGGCTTCCGTCATCATTGAACTTAAGGATCTCTCCGGGCTTTTGAGCTAAATCATCCCAGGTGCCTTTGTAGGTCACGGAGCCATTGCCGAGAATCAGCAGTTGGTCAGCCAACTTAAAGTACGAGGCTACAACTGTCAGAAGATCCTCAGAGCTTTCCACGGTGAGCTCGACTTACTCGAGTTTGTAATGATAAAGGAGGTAACCCCTGCCTTTTTGAAGTATCCTTCCGAACCGATGAGGTTGTCAACGATTTGACGTTCCGTCTTACCGTCCAGCGCGCTGAAGCTGTCATCCAGAAGCATGATGTCGCAACGCGCGTACAGTGCACGCGCAAGAGCCACGCGTTGTCTTTGTCCCCCAGATAAATTCAAACCGCGACTTCCGATCATTGTTTGGTCTCCAGTAGAGAGGGCTTCGAGGTCTTCCTTCAAGCAGCAGAGTTGGATCACCTCTTCGTACCAGCTTTGGTCCTCCGGCAGAAACCCACAAATGGCCTCCTTCAATGTGCCTCCTGGCAGCCAAGGTGACTGTGCACAGTATCCAATGCGCTTGGAAGACAATGAGATTGTTCCGCTGCTGATTGGGAGCTCGCCTATCAGAGCCTTGGCCAGCGCCGACTTCCCGCATCCCACAGGACCGGAGCACATAACTAATGAGCCACGGGTAATGTTGACGTCGACGTTGCTGACAATCGGAGGCTTTGAGGCATTTTGTTGAATAACCACGCGCTCGATAACAATTGCTGGCGCAACTTCGGTCGTTGCGTCGTCAGACTCAATCAACAAGACTTTGCTGTCACTTCGAGGAGGCTGCAGTAGATAGTCTTGTATCCTCTGGAAGCCAGCGAGCGACCCCACAGCCTGTGGAATAATCGTCATGATCATGTTTGCCGGGTGCGTCACCAATCCAAGAAGGGCTGTTGTGGTAAAGGCGGTTTCAGTATCAAGGTACTGGCCCTTCTTGTTGATACTAGCAACAATGACGAAGACCATGAGGGTAATTATGGGAGCGAAAAGACCCAAAGCATTGGCTGGTAAAGTAAGCAATTCGACCTTCTCAGTGTGTTGGACGACATACCGCTAGCGTTGTAAGCCACCATCATCCATCGGACTGCATTCCGCGTAAGTATGGGTCAATGGCCGTCTTGTATAGTGTGACGAAAAGCATACCACGGCTGGCCATGTGTAACTCCTGTTTTCTGAGATGTTGGACTAGCCCAGCGGCATAGTTAGTCACCCCAAGCATCTTCAACCCCTTCATCGAGGACAGCATCGAAGTTGTCATGGCGAGGCGCTTTTGCGTAGCTTCGTTCCAGTCCTTCTGTTTGCTTTGAAGGTTTTGAGCCAGATATTTACTCATGCGGGAGCAGACTTAGGAGGGCATTAGTCGTTCACCGAAGCCAGATATAGGAGCTAAAAACTCACAGAAGATCATGACAAAGGGTACCATACAAGCCCAGCCAACCTGTCGGGCCAACATCACTGTACCTATGAAAACCTCAATAATCTGCGCCCAAGTTTCGTGGAACTGTCGTGCGCTTTGCCCGACATTTTCTGCGTCGGTACTCATCAACGTGATGGCCTTGGCATCATCGTAGCCTACTGATTGCTGGGTCAATGACTTGTTGTTGATGAGACCAACCAACGCTCCTCTGATCATGACCTGAAGTCGGTTCAAGCGATTGAAGTAAAGAGCGCTGGAAACCTGCCATGGAACGTGAGCCTTCGTTCAGTCCCAATAAAGGGTGAGAAACTTACAGCCAGGCCGATGTAAACTATTGAAGCCACGAATATCAATTGATAGCCAGTTTGCGAAGACTCGACAGATGACGAATTCAGATATCGGATTACCGTACTGATCAAGACTGGTTGGGCATAGCGGAAGATAATGAGTGAAAGTCGGGGGATAATCGGGGCCAGGGAGTGCGACCAAAGGCTGCTAACTAAGACGCGAGGTAAGGTGATCTTGGTCTCTGGCTTGACTTCAGATGGGTCAGTGATGCCAAGTGTTGGATCCCTGGGGTCCTGACTAACCTCGCTGATCCCAACATCTCAGGGCCCGACGTCTAAGCACCTCCGATGAAAGCTCGGTATGCAACGAAGGAAGACTGTCTCCGGAGAGGACGAACTTGTTTCCGCGGGCGAGGATCGGGTTGATCCACCAGAAGAAGGTTCTGCTGAGCACGCCACCTACTTCTTCTGGAGACGATTGTTCGCCAGTGTTCCGTAGGATCGATGCCTTGCCGCGGCTTCCAGCGATGATGAGCACAAGCTTCAGTGTCAGGTTGGCTATGCTCATATAGAGAGCATCGTCGTTGTATAGTTTGCCGCCTTCATAAGCCAACCAGAATTCGGTAGCGTCACATGCCAAGGATACGAGCAGATAGATGATTGCAAGATCAGATGGTCTGACCGAGCGAGAGTGCTCCAAGAACAGCAGAGGGCATAGTAGTATGCATGCGAAAAACGAGGTAATCGCGGCAAAGTGACCGACGTCGAACTCAGTTACCAGCGAGACTCGTGTACCGCCAAAGAAAATCTGCACAAGGGCCAGCAAGACTGCGATTATCTGCTTGGGGTAAGTCTCCATACGATCGATCCCAACATAGGCTCAAACCCACAAGTGTCACATATCCCCGATGGCCTGACGCAACTTTGATAGATTCTTGGCGCAGTTTCCATAGCCGAAATGGTGATAAAAGCAAGAACACAGTCGACGCTGCTGCGGAGATGGCCTGAGAGTTGTGATCCATGATGGGCTCAGGTAGGCCCAGAGGGATTGAAGCAAAGCAGGTGAGGAAAGCAATTGCGATGTGTAGATTTGTTTGTGAAGGGTTCTCAACGACAATTGCAATCGGCGAGGTGGAAACCATCCGAGCCTCAGCATTTCAAGCATCGGTGTAGCAGGCGCAGCAATGTTGACATTCAGAGAACCAAAGTCCCTTTAGGCGATGCCGACATCGCGTCCGAAATATCCAGGGGCGAACCACCAATGAACTCGCTGGCTTCAAAGCAAGCTGCAGGGGTGGAATGTGGGATAGCTGAATACGAGCGGCGCAGCGACGGCCAACACAGATTTCAGGGATTCATACACCTTCCTGATTGGATTACAGCGCCCTGGCTAGCTGCAGGTACCAGGAAAAGACGGCATGTTGGTGCAAAAGATTGAGGACATGGCGCAAGATAAGCCTGGAGATGCACCCCAGCTTATCGCTGCTGACACCATGGTGCTGAGCTTACCCGCGATGGCATCATCCATAAATGCGGGGCCAGGTTTTGACAAGATCCGCGGGCATACTAGGTTGTGGTTGTGAGGGAATCGTTTACATATCGAGTGCATCATCGTATCAAAACTTGTTACTGGGATTGAACTTTACTTCGATATGCTTCTGCCAACTCTTTGCCAAGTCGTCTAGTCCGTCTAGGCCCTAAACCACTTCTTCACACTACTTTCCTCCATGTGCTCCTCAATTTCATGATCAACATGAGTCTCAGCAACTGCGTGATTGTCCTGAGCTGCTGCCAATACCGGTTTCGAGCAAGTGGGTTCCGGCTGATGCCCAGGTAGATTGACAACAAGTATCCCGCTAAAGCCAGCATTGCTGGCTTCCGCCAGGTGCTTCGTCTTCGTCCGGGATGGGTAGGTCCCTAGATACCTTTTGTCAGAATATCATGTCCTTTGGTGACGCGCAAAATCGGAGACTTACACTTATTTGCAAGTCGCCAAACTTAGGGAACAAGCAACGATACAAGAAGTAGACTTGTGAGTAAGGGTATGTTGACCCATTCCACTTCTTCCCCTCCTTCGAGCCTCTCAGGTACCAGCTATTGCACCCGGTGTACCACACTCTATCTTGCATGTCTCTTTGCATCTGCTCGACATATTCTTCTTCTGCATTCCTCTTGACTTCTACAATGGTGCCTTTGCCATCTAGCAATGGCTTGATGATACGCAATGAAAAGTTGATGGAATTCTCAGCGGCGATGATTGCAGAAGTGTGCCCAGTGAGGGAATTAGGGCCTGGTAAACCGCAGTCAGCAAATAATGAAACTTGTAGGGCGCGCCAAGAGACTTACCTAGTAGCACAAAAAGGTTGGGAAAGTTGTTTAGAATGGTGCAGTTGTACGCTTCTGCGCCGCCAAAGGTCTCCCAGTGTTGATCGATCGTCTCGCCGCCTCGCCCAACCACCTTCAACCCTCCAACCGCATTGTTCGTTACAAAGCCGTTGCACATGACTATTACATCTGCTTCAATCATGCCGTCCTTGGTCCTGATTCCTTCTGGTACGATCTCAAGGACCGGATCATCCATCAGAGTCATATTCTCCGAGTGCAAGCTCTCGAGGTATCCTGAGTCAAAAACGCGTCTTTTGCAGCCAAGCTCAAAGTCGGGAATGATCTTGTCGTGGTATTTCTCCGGTGCTGTTGCTCTCATGTACTTCTCAACCCGCGCCTGCACTCTTTTGCGGTAGCGCGTCCCGGCATCAGTCATGTAAAACCCACGAAAAGAGTCTTCTGCCCAGGCAAACATGAGAAGCCGCTGGATCGTCATGGTACCGGGAACGCTGCCGAACACCTTCTTCATGAACGTCGTGTTGGCAGAGTCGACTGATTCCATGATCCAGTGCTTCGTTCGGATCACCTGCGTGAGGTGCTTCACCTTATCCACGATCGCTGGTATCAGCTGTGTTGCAGTGCAGCCATTGCCGAACACGATCACCTTCTTGCCCTCAATGTCCACACTCGTATCCCACCGAGAGGAATGAAAGATGGCACCTTTGAAGTTCTCGGCTCCGGGGACATCGATTGGGTTCGGCTGCATGAGCTGCCCTGTGGCCGTGAACAGGAATTGGCACTCATGGGTGAAGATGCTGTCATCGCTGTACCGCCGAATGGTCATTCTCCAGCGATGACGGGCTTCTGACCACTCGCATCTCTCAACGTCAACACCAAACTTCATCTTGTTTGTGAGGTTGTATTTCCTCGCAACGTGGTCCAGGTATCGCCATAATTCCTCCTGCGGTGGCATGACCCGACTCCAGTCGGGATTGGCTTCGAATGAGAAGCTGTAAAGCGCACTTGGGATATCGCAAGCACATCCTGAAGTGAACGTCAGCATCCTCCCTAGTTATTCCTCCGTGTTTTCCATACCTGGATACTGATTCACAAACCACGTTCCACCTAGCTTGCTGTTTCGTTCAAAGAACTGGATGTCGCCGATATCATACCACCGTTTCAACGTCGCGCCAAGCCCAATGCCCGCGAACCCAGTGCCCACGCATGCGAATTGGCTATAACTAGGTACCTCACTCTTCGACATGATTTTGGTTGATCTAGAAGTTTTGCATCTGTAAGCACTGTGGGATACCGGCGATGATCTAGCTCGTAGCCAAAGAGACAAAATGGATGAGGCCAAAAAGTCAGTTTCAGAAGTCTAGCAGCTTGAGTAGCAGAACCCTGCTCGGTGCGGGGACTACAAGTTATGTCGTAGTTGATTTGGTTACCTGAGCCTGAAGCGCCCATACCTCGGCTCGTGCCACGTTTCGCGCTTCTTCGTCCGACAATAACCAGCACATCCGTGCGATCTTCCGCTGAAAGTCTGAACTATTGGCGGGCTTATGAAACGGCCAGTGTTCATCGCGTGGCGGAACAGCTCGCACAACTGAGCCGATGAGCAGGGGAGCTCTGACCAGGAAGGTGAGGGGAAACCGTTGCTGGGTCTGCTAGTGCAATGAATTGAATATCACTCCATTGGTCAATGGCGACGACTGAAGACATCTTGCATTAGCCCCAACGGAAAAATGTAACCGTTGGAGGACCGGAGGGTCGGAGGAACGGTGAGTCGAAGACCCCGGTTAGTTCATCTCGATTTGGCCCCTGTCGTTCGCTTTACATCACCTCGGCTCAATAGCCGAGCTGGATGATTGACGCTGAAGACTTGGCAGCGTGGCGGCGAGTATGTCACGATTGAGTTTACTAAATTGGGCAGAGATCACGCGAGGAGTGGCATTTGTGAACAAAATATACTTACTTACATTGATGAAATGTTTTGATGATTAAAGCTCCTCATTCTTGATCCCGTTGGTCTTTGCCTTGCTAGCCTCTTCCAAGTCAAACGTGCCCGTCAAGTCATTAATCTTCTGGCGGGGGGTGTAAGGGATATCCTTCGCACTGGCGGTTGTCTCTCGCGCTAGGCGCCATATCCATTCTGGCCCTGCCCTCTGTTTGATTTTGTCAGCCCCATGCTAATTGTTCATGGGATGATTTTACAACTTACGAGTGCAGTCACCAAAGACATGATTCTAGGAAGGTAAATGGTCCCGCCGTATCCGCTGTAAAGCCCGTTCACAATTGCCTCACCAACAGTGTCGACATGAAGCAGTGGCATAACAAAATGTGGCTGTCCGGGGTTGAACGGGACAAGAGGCGTCCTAATGAAGCCGAAGATTCCAAGGGTTTGTCGAACTTTCAGTGCTTTGTGGATGTACTTCAACTCGAGTTGCAAAGACTGTACTATGTTAGTCAAGCGTCGGCTTTGGGGCGTGGTCACCAGTAGACTGACCTCATGCATGGCGGTTAGTCCTGCTTTAGTTGCAGAATAATCTGCGATTCTGACGGGTGGGACCACTGAACTCATTGACCCGATGTTGACGATATGTCCATGATTTCTGCGAACCATATACGGCAGGAACTCCTTCGTCAATAGGAAGGGCGCAATGAGATTTGTCTTCACGGTGAGCTCAATGTCGGCATATGAGCCTTCCATAATTGTTGCACCCCGCGCAATGCCGGCATTATTGATGAGAACCGTAGGATCCCCAACCTGAGTTCGAATGAGAGTGCAAAGCGTCTTCAGTGCCGCCGTATCGGTCAGGTCACACTTGAAGTAGTGAAGCTTGGAGCCCTTGGGTGGTTCCCATGATAACGGTGCCAAGTCAACCACTACAATGGTCGCTTTGGGGTTTCTTGCGAAGATGTGCTTGATGATGCTTGCGCCGATGCCGCTGCTGCCGCCGGTGACGACAATGATTTCTCGATCCCAGTCCCACTTGTTGTCCGTCACCCAGTTATTTGCTGACCATTTGTTGAGATATTCCGTCGTCGAAAGAACAAAACTAGCGAGCGCAGCGATGTAGGCTAGTCTGCGAACATTTTCGGGTTTAACTCCGGAAATCCCAATTGCTCCGTGACCTTGCGCTGCGGCCACTGCTAGCCCGGCGGCAATTGGTATTGATAGAAACGGGTTGAGTACTGATTTTCTCACCCATTGGGCAATAACATCGACCGTAAAACCTTCTCGTGAGAAAGCCATTGTCGTAGTTCACAATTGAATCAGTATACAGAAACTGAAAATAGTCGGATGATTTTCGTTGTTTTCATTGATGCTCTAAGTATCATCAAGGGCTACTTCTCCAATCTTGTAGTCGAAACGATCACGTTTCAACCTGGAGCAGAAGCAACTCCAACCCCTGCAAACCATATTCCGGGAAGCTGAGCCGAGGTCCCCAAACCGCGCCACGAGATCGAACTAGCCAATCTCTCACCGAGGATGTGCCAGAGCATGAAGTTGCAGCATCCGTGCATTGGTTCGCTGCACATCAAATGAGGGGACCATTCAGCGTTGTGCGCGGCTGGAGACGGCGCTCTAACCCAAACGGGACGATGCGATTGCTCAGATGCCACGCAGATCTACGATAGTATGCAACGGTAAACGAGTGCGAAGGTTTCTTGACGCAGCTCTCGTCCCTGGTTTATGCCTCGGTCAGGACGGTCGGTAGTTGGGTTTGACACATTTTCCCCCAAGCCCGTGCCTCTGCGGACAGACATGTCAGTGACATTCTGGGCGACACTTTTCCTGTTTCTTCAGGTCAAAACGAAACGCTTTGTTTGATTGCACCGCAGACGCGAGAAGGTCGCCCGAAATTCTGTATCGTACTGTTAGCTTGCTCTCGGCTGCCTATTTGCCCACATTTCCCTCCCACTGGCTTGGATAGGCGAAGCTTCTGTTTGACACGAGACGAACCCAAATCACCATTCCAATCGCAGCTCATTGACGCCTATTGAAAACCAGCCGTTGAAGATGTCTGCACGATCGTCTAGACCCCAACTATCGCTGGGTGAAAAGAGAGATCTGCTCTTGCGGCTTTTGTTCCGAGGTATGCTTTCTTGACAAGTTTACAACAAACTTGAACTGACAACCTGGGCCCGTAGCCCCATTCCAGCTGGTTTGGAACTTTTGCTATGGGCTACCGTTCGCAATCGCGAGAGGCATGTCCCTCCGCCTGTTCGCCTTCTGCGCATTCTACCGCTTCGTACTTGGGTCCATGAAAGCTCGGGAGATTCAGTTCTTGCAGCCGCCTACTCTCAAGACTTATGAGACTTGGATCGAGAAGAAGCGCCTGGTTAACCCACGGCTTGCTGAAAAGCTGAAGCGAGATGTTGAGATGCTTCCGGCGAATGACGGCTCAATCATGTGGCTCGGCAACCGCAAGAAAGCCAAGAAATTCGTGCTCTTCTTCCACGGGGGCGGCTACGTCGTGCCGCTACTGCCTGGCCACGTCGAGTGGTGCTGGGAGGCATACATTGCCGGCGGCCCAGGTGAGAAAACGGAAGTGGCGGTGGCTATCCTGCAGTACACTCTCGTACCCAAAGCGCGGTATCCCACACAGCTCCGTCAGGGTATCGCTGCTCTCAATCACCTGCTTCAATCTGGCGTCAGGCCAGACAATCTCATCATCGGTGGTGACTCGGCGGGAGGCAACTTGGCTCTCTTGGTCGCCCGCCACCTTTGTCTCCCTGCACAGCTGGATATCGCACCATTCAGCCTCAGTGGACGCCTCGCCGGCGTGTTTCTCGTTTCACCGTGGCTCACAAGCAAGACTACAACGCGTTCCTTTCAAGAGAACAATTTTGTGGATATGCTCACCACGACATGCATGCACGGTGCCACGGCGGAGCTGCTTCATCCCCGTTTCCCTGTCAAGAACAAGTCCGACGAGAGCGATCTGGCCTTGGCTATGCCCATGGATGGAGATCTCGGATGGGTCAATGACATCTCCAACGCGACGAAGAGTTTGTACATTACTGGAGGTCAGCAGGAGGCATTCAGGGATGATATTCAGTCGTTTTCGGAGTACGTCAGCTGCAGTCAGAACGATTTAGATCTACTTGTTGAGTTACCAGAGCATGAGGGGCATGATTTCATCTTACTAGAAGGAAACATTAGGCGCGTTGGGGATGCGACCAAGAGAATGAGAAATTGGGCTGCTGCGCAACTTAGTTAGGCTGATCGTCAAGATGGGGATGCACTGCACGATTCGAAGGCATTTTTTTGCTTTCAGCGAACAAGAAGTCAGACTGCATAGTGATAAAAGCACATGCCTATGCCATGGTCACTCATCTTTACTTAAGAGGCGAAGATGAATATGAGTAGGTCCAAGCTGGATGAAAAGGTCCCACCGTTCAGATATATTACTATCGTCTCAGCTATCCCCATCCTATTGACTCATCCATTGAAATCAGTGATCTTTCAAGTGAGTACCTAGTAGTTCACTTCTCTTCAACAGGCCACCCTTCTTTCTCCACTCCTGCGCTGGCACATAGTTGCTCTCCTTAAGAACTTTCCACGTTTCGGGATCCTTGTCCTTCTTCACGCGAATTGCTTCGTCTTCGAAAGTAGATTCGTAACATGAAATACCTTCACTCAACAACCACTTCAACACCTTTGCATTACGGTCTCGCAACAACAACAGTGCTAGTGTCTTGCGCATACTGCTGGTATAATTCGGTGATTTCTCACGCAGCTGCTCCAGAGCCCTTTCTAATGAATCAACCTCATGACGATCTGCAAACACAGCAAGGAATGCCGAAATGTCTACAAAATATGAGAGCCTTTTACTCATGTAGAAACTTGGCATTCGGATACATACCATCGACAGGTTCGAGCGAACGGTTGATCCAGCAGTTGATCTCATACGCCACAGGATCCATCTCATATAATTCTTCATGAACGTCTTCGTCTCCAGGATGCTACACCAGTCATCAAAAGCTGTTGAAACAGATGAGAGAAATACTCCTGTTCCGTGATTTTCCCGCTGCGTCTTTTTCGAGCTGCGGGAACGTAGCAGAGGGTCTTTGCTTCTGTCGCCATGCCGGGGTTCAAAGAGGTGGGCCGCCGGGTGGGGCCGTGTTTTTTGAAGGGATTCAAAGTGCAAATGAACGTTATTTACTTGGATGCCTAGGTATTTTCATCGGAAAAAAGACAGAGATCATCTGGAGCGTCTTTATACTACTCTCAACGACACATGATGTGAGATTTAAGTGAACATTCCCATATGAGGTGAGATTGATTGCGCCTCACGTCTGAAAGCCGCCTGTCAAACCAGCCTATCAAACCCTTGTCAGTTAGCTGGATGAGCCGCCGGTTGGTTGAGTGGTTGAGGGAAAAGATATCTGCATGTTCCCGCGCCACCCTCTGAAAATAGCCCACCATTCTCCAATGGTTTCGCCAAGCCAGGCCTGCTAGACCGTGGTCCAGAGCGGGGTGTACAACACACACAGCAAACGCGTCGCGTGAAGTTTAGACAGGCAGCAAACAGTGCATCTTTTCACGATCGCCGCCAAAACAGCGGTAGACGGTTTAACTCTCACTCCTTCAACTGTGTCACATTCATTTCTGCAGTGCAAGGCCTTCGCCTCATCCGCCTCAATCGTCGGTTTAAGTCAATTAGCCAACAACACCATGCCCCTCCCAACAAACCATCACCCTCTCAACTGCACGTACAATCGTGACGATGTGGTCGCGGGGCTCACGGAATATTACCGCATCCTCACCCTCTCGGCATACATCCCAGCCTCATACATCGACTTCCCTCCCGCAGGCGGCTGGACCGATGCCGACCTCGACGTCGGCGCTCTTCGCGCCTTGAGACGCTCCGAGACTGTCATCGACTTGCTGCGCCATCTCCCCTACCCGAGACCGATGCACGACGGACCGCGTCCGGGTCCTTGGAACGTCGCACCACACTCCAAAGCCGTGCGCTACCTCCGTCACATGGGTGACTTCAGCCAGTGGTCTGACCGCGGCGACGCGGGCCTTCTGGAGCTCGCTGCTCTGCCGATGAGCTCGACCCCAGCTGGGCCGATGGACCTGCCTCCGGACGTCGTCGCACTCACTCACGGCGAGCGCTGGGGATCGACTACCTCGGTTCCGTACTGGTGGATTGTGGACTGCAGTCGAGGAATCTTCTCCCCGTTCAGAGAGAAGATCTACGAGGTCGGCAAGGTCCCGCGTAACAAGCCGTGGCGGACCGTTCAGTCGTACTCTGTGGTTGATTACTTCGCCCAGCTAGTTCCAGAGCTGGGCCAGAACCTGATCCCGCTGCCGCCAACAGAGGAGCTGGACGCCGAGGTTCTCGGTCCGAAGGACAATCTTGCCGAGCCCCGGGAGATCTACCTCGCGCATGGGTGGCCGAGCCACGACTTCCGTCACGATGAGTGCATTGTCGCGCTGCAGGCCTATCGCCGTCGGGTCCAGGAGGAGGAGCGAAGGCGCATCGCGCAGGACGTTGGCGACGCAGAAGACGCTGACGATGCGGATGACGATGACTTCGAAATGGATGACAGCGACGACGAAGTGGAGCACGAGGAGGGAGCTTCCGGGCTGGAAGATGCCATGGCTGATGTGGAGGTGGACGACCTGAGCGCCGAGGCGGCTGCTTTGCGCGCCGACATGTCACCCGAGGAGCGGGAGAGATTCGACAGGCTTCAACAGGGCGAGTTGCCCTTTGAGTGGGTTGATGCTGAGTAGAACTGGGAGAGCAGGATGCCAAAAGGCGGAACCATTCAACACACGCATATCATAACGCAAGCGATTATCCATAGACTATTCAATGAGTTGCTCAATCTACTTAGACGACCTCAAATCTTTGTCTCCCTCCCAGTGCTAGCATCGTAGTCCCAATTTATGTTGCATTTTTGCTGGTGCTTGGTCAGAAGAGCCTTCGAGTTTTGTCGAAGAACTTCAGGATTGATTACCGCCCCTCGAGGGTTGGTATCAACGAAGTTGTCGTAGAGCTGAGTTTGCATCTCAACTACCGGCTGGGGGCAGTACGGAAAGTCGGATCCAAATAGAACATGCGATGGTTCTGCAGATTCAAGCAAGCCAAGTAGCTGGGCTGGACTAGTACTCAAGGCCGTATCGTAGTAGAAGCGAGCAAAGTCAGCTTCGGCCGTGTCGAAGTCTGTTGAAAGCATCTCTTCGACCGACGGTATCTTCAAAGAACCCATAACCCTGTTCGCAAGAAAGGGTAGAGTGCCTCCAGCATGGGACAAAATGACGTCGACGTCGGGACAAGCACGCAGTGTTCCAGTCAACACCAGGTCTACCGCCATGCGGGTGGTTGCCATGGGATAGTCAACGATGGGTTGTGGGAGGTTGTCCGCGATGAACTTGGGTGTCACATCGAGGGACGTTGGGTGCGTGAACACCAACGCCTTGTAGGCCTGAAGCTTCTGCCAGATCGGCTTGAAGGAAGGATGGCCGAGCAGTCTGTCACCGTAAGACGTGAAGACGGTAACGCCGAAACAGAGCTTCTGTTCCCCGAAAAGGAAGTCGAGCTCGGCGAGAGTGCCTTCAACATCTTGCCAATCCGGAAGCGCACCGAAGAACCCGAGTCTTTGCTCGGACTTTGGGTTCGTAGTAAGGTTGCCCAGATGCTGGTTCAGATCTCGAGCCAGCTTGCGGCCCGCGGCACCTGCGCCAGCGATGGAGGGTCCCGGCGCCGACACTGACAATATCGCTTTGGAAAAGATCTTAGTATGTGAATTCAAATAATTAAAGAGTGGCTTAACTACCGATGGATGTGCTGATTGAGTTCAGCGAGCTGAAGGTGGCTTCCAAGGACCAATCTGGCGAGGGGAAGCCTGATGGATCACCCCCGGCCGCTTCGACCGCAGCAACGTACGCCGGAGGAAGAGCGTGAATGTGAGTATCGATTCTGCCCATGATTGTGAGTAGTCAAACGTGATTTTTGTGTTCTCCAGCTGGCATTTCTATCTACATCTCATCATAATCGATGATATATGAGAGACCTCTGTTTCCCCACGACATCGGAGGACAGAGAGACGGGGCCGGCGTCGGTGTCTGCAAGCTCCGTGTTACCGCGACAGCTGATGTAAGGATGAAGTCATCACAGCTTCAAAGACCAACTTCGCGTTGTCGATCGGCTGAGCCAACCGTTTTCGTCGTAGCGGTCAAAGGCTACTCCGTGCCGAACTCCGATCAGAGAGATGATTTTGGTGTCAAAGATACACATACGGCTTCGGCCCCACTCAGATGCGGACTACCTCATCCAGGAGCTGATATTCGGTGCCACTCGTTGGAGAGGTGGAGAGGAACCATCAACAGGGCCAGGGCTCAACTGTCCATTGGCAGCGGACGAATATGTACGCCGGAAGTACCTCTCCTCGTTGCGTGCGACAGCTTCTCGAAGGGAAGTTGCCTTTGTCTCACGTAGAGGCATTTCAGACGCGATGAGCAACCGGGGCTTGGACATGTCAAGAAAGCATCGTGTCCATCCTTACACAACTTGGCATCCTTCTTCCAACGTTAAAAGACACGACCACTGGAGAAAATTGACCACTAAGCTACTTCTCCTAATTGGTCGCGAAAGAGATACGCACATTGCTCCTACTTGCTACTACCCCTCTTTGGGCCTGCTGATGTCATCATCTACTTGTTTTATTCACCCACCTCAGCCTGTTTCCTATTTTCGTTTCGCTTCTTCCTTTTTGACCCTTGCTTACTGCGAGGTCTTTAGTCCCCCTTCAACTCTTTGCATTGTTCGCCGCGCAAAGTCCCACATCGAATTGCAGCATCTGACCCGAAATACAATCAAAAAGTCTGTTAGCGGCGGGAGACGCGACAGCTGTACATACCCAGAGGCCATAAGTCCCACCAGCCGACGTTGTCCACGAATAGCTTGCCGATTTCCTAGTACCGGTCTAGGCAATCAGGACATGGGAGGAGAAACTAAAATGGAGGAGGAGAACGGCACGTACGTGGTGATTGCCACGAACGTTGACCCGACTTCCGCACATCGGGGGCGTTACATGATGCAACGAACGCGTAGTTCTCCCTGGGAGGAGGTGGAATGCAGGTTCGCAAAGGGAGGGAGAGAGACTCGGCTGAGGGATGGGGAGACTGAGTGTGGTTGGTGGAGTTGCGAAGATGGCGTGTGGGAGCCTCAGAATGAGGCAGCGATACACAACGTCACGGCATTCGAGGAAGAGGCAGCGCGTTTCTTCGAAGAAACTGCTCAGGCACGGAATGCACGTAATACCGGAGCGCACGTGAGTGGCTGGAGTCGAGACGAAGGACCGAATAACTTCCCAAGGGGCGTAACAGCATACGTAGGGGAGCAGGTCGCGTTGCTTGCGGCGCGAGCCATAACGCATCGTGACTTTTCACGCAGCCTCATGTACTACGCTAATAGGCTGCAACACAGGGAGAATGCTGCTGCAACTACAGCCGAGGAAAGGACTGTCCAAGCCACCAGACCAGATTTCTCTGCTCAACAAACACACCAATGCACAGACTGTTGTATGCGGGGCGATAAACTCCTGGATTTGGAGGATGATGAAGTTGTTGAGGATCACGGGCAGCCCTATGTGGCTCTCAGCTATGTGTGGAACCAATGGAAGCCTGAATTAATGGCTGCCGTCAGAAAAACAACCTTAAGGGAATGCAAACACCTCTGGATGGATCAGAGATGTATTGATCAATCCTGCGGAGAACACAAAGGCCAACAGGTTCCAACGATGAGAGACAAATACAGAATAGCCCAAAAAACACTTGCGGTAATTCCCGAAATTCAGATTCAAGTGCCTAGGGGTTTGCTGGAAACAGACGGCCCCTGGGACAAGGAGTACTTTAGGGAACCTTTGATGGAGTTGGAAGCACAGTTGATGTCCTGTGAGTGGATGGGCAGAGTGTGGACCTGGCAAGAGGCAATGGCATCCAGCTGCCTGGAGTTCTTGACGGGAACAGGGCAAGTGCTGTCCGCCAGCAGAGTGGCAACCCTATTGTCCTTTCAGGAAAACTCACCAGCAACCAGATATGCCATTATGGATCCGGTGCATGTGGCAACAGGCACAGTCTCCTTACCAGTGAGCATCACATCCGAAGGCATGTCTATGTACAACACAGGGTATTCTGCGTGTGACACTACAGAACATGCGAAATGGATGGGCACAGAGACGTGGAGTACAAAAGTAACAGTCGGGGCTGCCTTCAGGGCCACAGGCCACTGGGAGGCCACCTTGGAGAACGACTTATTGTACGGAGTACTGGGACTGATAGATCCTTCCCATGAGGTCAAAGTGGATTATACTATGAGTTTGGCTGACGCGTTGGCGGAACTGGCAGCCTCCGCGGGAGTGGACACAGACATACTGCTGCACCGGCGCTCGTCTAAGGAAGAAGGAAGATGCTGGATGCCGGAAACCATAGAATCGTCCAACTCCGTCGGCTCTTCATGGCACATGAAACCCGTCGCCAAAGGCCATCTGTCACCCAGAGGCTCGTTGATGTGCAAAGTCCCAGTCATGAAAGTCGCTGGAAGTAGAGGCAACACGGTATGGACTGACAAGGGTAAATTATTGAGCATGGAACGTGGAATGGCCAATACCAGGGTGGAGGCGGGAAGCTACATGCTCAATGTAGCCTACGACTGGACTACTGGTCTGCACAAGTGGATTTTATGCCGAGGAGAGCTCAGCCGTTTACACAAAAGAGATGCATGGGTCTTCTCCACGGATAGCCTCCTTGATGCTGAATGGCAGCACGTCGATATAGGATGGAGCTGAGTCGACTGCTCAAAACAGCTGCAGTAAGGAGAGGTCTAGGGTCATGTGTAGGCGTGGAGTCTGAGTTGCACACAGCCAATGGATCAGGGAGCAGGGTCATGGTCAATGTGGGAGGAAAGCCGTTGCCATGAGAGAGCTTTCTCAGGGCCAGATTGGATGCCCATACATGTATCCGTTTCGACCTCACGTACCGAAATTCGAGTTTTCACTGTCTTCAGGTTTTGAGTACAGAAAGCCATTGGGATGTTCATAGTGATGACTGTACAGGCCGACTTGTGTTGTCTGGACGCCTCTTGAAAGAAGTTCTCCATACAGGCTAGATTACTCTATCGTTTACAAAACCGAGCAGACACCCAGTAGGACAGATTCCAGAATAGCTCGACCATCTGTTAATCCCAACCTTTGTGCCGCCCGTGCGCCGCAATTCAACGGCGAGGGGGGAAGCCAATGACACACGTCAGTTGGTCCGTGGGGGGACCCGTCTGAGTTTCGGAACTCCCGTCTTAACCTTACTTTTTATTGAAGAAAACATCGATGGTTCTTGTAGGTCTCTGTGTAGGCGATCAAAAGCTTTAGATCCTGAGTTAACGGCGCACCTAATCGTTCCCCGGAGCTTGCAGACGGGGAGCTAAGCCGACGGATCACTCGGGGAGACGGGCCGATCGCTTGGCAGTTCCCCAGCCGGAAACAAACGAGAACGTCAGACATTTGCCCCGACTGCATGGCCGCAGACGTGGGCAAACCTTGCGAACATGCCACGCACATAAGGTCTTGCATCTCGGGTCTCGGGTCCGCTCGCGGTAATCGCGCTGCTCGTGTCTGCTAACCCCGGACGGCCAAGCCCGGTCTGATCGTAGAAAATCTGCCAGCTAAAAGTTCAACGGTCGCGCTAATGTCGGCAAAGGGACCTCGTGAGTGGCCGTTGGGACTCGGTCAGGCCGACTCCCCGACGGCAAAGGATTCCGGTTCAACGTTAAAGATCGACAACTTCGCGTCCCCGAAAACCTTTAGACTAGCGTCGCTCAGATCCAGCAGTGGCGTCTAGTAAAATGACATTCATGGGCCTGTCTGAGGCTAGTTCGTTAACCTAATATGGAATACAAGGCAACGTGGAACGCCTGTCATGTGAGAGGAACCTGATGCCCTGCAGTAGCTGCAACATCGCGACATGGTCCTGCCATGCATATTCACATAAATACAGCTAACGCCGTTTGTAGAATAGAGCTGTTGGTACAATATGCTACATTGAAAACTTGGCAAGTGCCCAATCCAAGACCCTTGCGCAGTCACTTATTCCTCCCTCCTCGTATTCCCAGCAATTTGATAGGATCTCCTTCTGTGCTAGGATGGTTCTCTTCCAATTCTGAGGATACACGACCCTTGTAGGCATGTTTAAAGAAGGGATGAATTGTGCCCGCTCTGCCGCGGTTAAAATCAAAGAACAAGTGACAAACCCCCTGAGCTGCAGCCACAGGCCATGGTGTGGAGTGGAAGACGTGGCTTGAATCCTGAATAAGCAATATTGGAGGCCCCTTGAAGCGATTTCAGCTACCCTGGTGACCATGTGCTCCGACACTGTGATGCCAATCGAAATTGTCGAAGCTAGCCTTACGAACGGCCGGCAAAGAAGCTCTCGCATTGTGAGATAGCGTCCGCGGAGCATTTGACACAGATCGTCCGCCAGTGGCGCAATCTCACCGTTGGGTATTTGAAATGAGATCGGCGGCGGCAAAGACTCGTACCAATCCGTCAACTGGGCATCGAATACCTCAAATACTTCAAGCATCCGATCTATACCATGCTCTGTGGGGTGTGGAGGAGAACGCCGCTGGGCTTGCACAATGCGATTCATCAGCTGTCTCGCGGCAATCTCCGCGAGATAGTAGTACCAGGATCTTTGCTCCATCATCAGTGCCTTGTTGTCTAGATTCATCACCCCCAGTGTTGGTGGAGCAGGAAAGTTGTAGGGATAATCTATGCCGGCAAGAATCGAGCCCGGCAGAGAAAGCTCAAAGGCAAGTTCTCTGTAAGCGGTTTAGCTGGCTGAGAACCTGATAGAGATACGTGGACTAAGAACTCACGATTCCGACTTATAGCATGTAAAGTACAGTATTTGCTCTAGTGAGAGAGACTGGGGGT